TATTTTTAGCAAAAATTTGGGTTGAATTCAGCCAAAATCGGGAAATTTTTTTAAGCAAAAATTATTTTAAAAAGAAACCCCTATTTTATAAGTTCTTTATTTTTAAAAGTTTAGGTATGGAAAATTTTTTGCATTTTTAAGCACAAAAACAAAATGTGAAAGATTTTCGTGACATTGTTATGTATGTAAACAATCAGTAGGTGGCACATTTTGCAAGAAAATGAAAGATTTGTAAATAGATCGATACAATGAATAGCACGATACAATGGGGTTTCACTATATATAATTTTGATGGTGGGAAAAATTTTTTTTTATAAAATTTCATCGGTGGTTTTGTATTTGGTACCTTATAGTAAGCCTTAGAGTGTTAAATTATTTTTTTTTCGGGGTTGTAGTAGGATTCCAGGGGCAGATAGGGGTGGGTGTCCAAACACTGATACTGCCACCTGTGGTTATAGCCTCCCAGCAAACACATGACGTTAAAATAACGTCAGATTACCGTTAGATTTTGGTCACGACGTCGGCGACCAAAATACGACGTAAATCTGACGTCCAAAAACCGATGTCTATTAGACCTTTCTTTTTGACGACGTACTAACCATACATGTGACAAATGAAATGGGCCAAATCTGGATTTTCAGCTGGATTTTGAGGCTCAAAACTGGATTTTTTTATTGACTTGAATTTCAACGCGTGTTTGGCACATTTGGTTCAAAGAACCTAGATCTATATTACCTCAAAATCATTAAATGATTTATACCTTTTATGATTTTTTTTGTTGATCAATATTATAAATAAGTGTAGTCATACAGCTATTTCTTTAAACAGTCACATTTTCACATTTCATTATTTTCAGTTTGAATAATTATATCTGTCTTTTCAGTCATACAATAATAATTGGCTAATAATTTAAAAAACTATTTGAAAACATGCAAACAATTATTCATGATCATAAGACTCTGACAGTTAAATAACGTAAGTCGTAAGTAGAAGACTCAAAATAAATGCAAGAATCGTTCCGTTAATTAAATCCACATTTTTTGCCTCGATGAATGTGTAATTCCTAAACAAAACAAAAAAAATACCCACTCACTAAAAATAGGTTAATTAGACATGGTTTTGCCGCATCTCAAACAGGTTTTTGAATGATCCACTTTAAATGATTCTGCTCACCTTTAATCTTTATCAGTGCGGCACTAATCAAAGAAAATCAAAGGTTCAGCCGAATTCATACATGTAAATTTACAGGGTCGTTTTGATGACGTAGCGTGTAATACACACAAGAGGTCAATTGACTGACACACGACAGGTGTTAAGTTAAACATGTGAGATGGAACTGTTTATTACGTCACCTTGCTGTAAATTAGCAACTGAATATTTAATCCGCTATAATTTAGGATATGGACAGATAACAATCAATGCCCGGAGGCACGGTTTACATTTAAGATACAGGTGCTGTGTTTGATTTTTTTTTATGTTGATTTTTTTTAAATATCGGGAATTCAAGCTGTAATATCGGGAATCGGGATCAGTGTCGAAATATCGGGATTTTTTTAAATCCCGCCGGGATATCACATGTATGACTAACGTCAGGTTCTGGTCGGTTTCCTGACAGTAGGCAAAAAATTAACGAAAGGTAATCCTTATTCGCTGTTGTAATCATTTAAACTTTTTTTTAAATGTTATTTGGCTTACAAATTAAGTGTATATATATATACAAGTGCCTTTCGAAGACCACGTGCGCGGCGCTGCAACCTAATAAAAACATATAGGTGGCGCTGTATATAGGTTAATTACATGTGTTATTGTTATGAAATCTATTTATAGCCACAGATCTGTTAACGAGTTCCAATCATTTAGCGTTACAGTATTATCATTTGTGGTACATTATATGTATCAAAATCGCGAGTTTTTAATAGTTCTTTAATATTTAATCATAGTGACAGGAAAAGGAAAGAAAACATAATAATATTTAGAATCTACAGCCACGTGGATGGAAAATTCAAATTCGTAGGCGTTTCGTATGTCAGGAATCGGGATGCATTGATAAAGTGAATATTCCAGATTTTCTTGAACAAAAAGGTCAGTTCAATTTATGTAAATTTATTTCTACTTTGTATTTGAAAAATAAGTGCATGCATTCTTAGATTTAATTATCATTATTTGAACAGTTGAAGCAAAATGTCACACAAATTCGCGATAATGTTTGATAATAAATCATTTCAAATTTGGCATGTTTTAACTCTGCTTGTGAAGAGTTTATAATGTGCCTTTCAGTATAACCAAAGGGAATGCTTAGTTTTCATATTCTTGCTAAACTATGATGTTTTTGTCACTTAAAATCTGAGAATTGAGAATGAATTGATACAATTTCGAGCATTTCGGACCAAGACGTTTCGGTCCTAAATAACCCAAGACGTTTCGGTTTTAGACATTTCGGCATTTTCCCAAACAGTCCAATTTTTGATCAGAATAAATCTTACCTTAATGTGTTTTACACCAGATTTTAATATCATTCTAATGAATGAACGGGAAATAAATGAAAGAGCGAATTGATTGATTATGTAATATAGAATGAGACTTCATATAATCAATAGTAGGAAAAATGTAATCAAAACAACATAAACTTTTTAACAAAACGTAGTACATAAACATACATTTATTATCAACAATTTCTCAACACTCTTTAATTTGAAACTATGAAAAATTTAAGACTTGCGTAACTGTTCTAATATACATAAGTTAGAATATAATTTTCTTTTCAGGTAGTTCAAGCGTTTGACATGCTCTCAAAGGTCGGAGGGGCAGAAATACGTGATAATGTAAAAAGAAACATGAATCATGGGAAAGTAAGATTTTGTAAATTCTATTACATACTATAATCCATACAAAACTGGAGTCTTAAAGCGTTTTTTTTTTTCATTTTCAGTATTTATGTTTACTTTTAATTTTTGTTAAACCTCACTTCTGAAAAGCTAGCAAAATTGTTCATTAATTTAAGATAACTTTCAAAATTTCATAAGGGCAGATAACAATGAAAAATTTTTACTTGTAATTTTTCCAATTTTCATAAATGTCTTTTTTTTTCAGTGAAAATGATATCACAAATGCCATTGGACATTAACATGTTACTTCCTCCGGACAGACGAGGGGTGGTGAGAGAAAGTCATCTATCTAAAGGCATCACACCTCCAAATTCGTGCTAATTCTCGTGGATATTTAAAAGTACATTTGTGTATAACTTTGTGAAGTAACTAAAAGGAATAATTTATACGTTAGTGACAATTATCAAAAGGAGGTCAAGATATGAAAAATACCGCTAAATGTTTTAGTAATGCTGTAGAAATATAGTTAAAATACTGAATATCTGTCATTAATGAAAAGAAAATTATAATATTTTCATTATTTTGTTTGATAAGACAAACTTTGATAGAAATACACATACATTGTTTTGTTCATTAATATTTGTATATGATTTCTTAGTTTTATTTATGTCATTGTTTTTGTAATACTTTTTGTTTTGTTATTAACTTATTTTATGTTTTATTTGGTTTAGTTTATGAAAAGTATTTAGCCTCGCAGAATTAACTAAAACTTAAATTGCAACTTTTATCTTAAATAAAAAAAACCATAAAAACATATTTTTACTTTTAGTTTTTGGTTATACATTTCATTGGAGTGAAAGTTACTTAAAAGAATGAGTTACATTACATTTGATCAAATCAGGATTGGCCAGAAAATATTTATAGCATTGTAAACAAGGAGGATTAGGGAAATGATCAGATTAAGGTCAGAAAATGGTCAGGTTTAGGGCAGAAAAAGGTTAAGATCTAGGTCGGAAAATGGTCAGATTGAGGTCGGAAAATGGTCAGAAACTGGTTAGAAAACGGTCAGATTTTGGTCGAAAAATGGTTAGATTTTGGTCAGAAATAGTTAGATAATGGTTAGATCCTGACGTCAATCTGATGTCAGATTATTACGTCAAAAAAACTTTCAAATCCGACCGTTTTTCCGACCGTCATCCGACGTCAGAACCTGACTTAAATCTGACGTCAGTTTGACGTTTTGTGTTTGCTGGGCTGGTACAGTAGCCCCAGGCCAAAATTCCTGTGTCAGTACAGTATTTCATGATTTATTTAAGGTGATTCCGCTTTGTCAGCCATATTTGTTTTCACTAAAGTCTGTCCAAAGTGAAAGTAGGCCAAAATTCATATAACAACAAAGCTCTTATTGTAAAATGATGAACCATTTGAAAGTACACTTCCAGGTTTATATTTTAAGGACAATTATAAACAAAAATAAAAATGATAACAATAAGAATATTTACCTTGAATGTGCCACATTTCTGAAGACCAAAAACATTTTGTTGCAAAGTTTTATACACATTTCATGAATGGCAAAATCCTTTTTAAAGTCTGTTTTAGTGCCTACAAAAGCTATTTTTTGCAGCAAACACAAAAATCTTTCAAAACTTAACTCCAAATAAATCTGTATCTCATGTCCTTCTAAGCACATGGCCTCCATTATTTTTTGTAAAAAAGTAGTGCAAGAAAACAATCATCATTTATAGCCTTATGAATTACAATTAAAATAAAATCACAATCAAACTTTAAAATCTAACCTTTTTTGTGTGTAACAGTGAAGTGTGTCTGTTTGTCATGTACACAAGTCATAGGTAAATGATGTTTATTTTCATGGTACTACTTTTTTACCCATGTCATGGTGGCCATGTTTTTTCAAGGTCAGATAAACTACTTTCCTAAGATTTATGTTTTTTAAAGTTTTTTGTATTTTATGCAAAAAATAGCTTTTGTAGGCACTAAAACAGACTTTAAAAAGGATTTTGCCATTCATGAAATGTGCAATAAACTTTGCAACAGAATGTTTTTGGTCTTCAGAAATTTAGCCCATTCAAGGTAAATTTTCTGATTGTTTTCATTTTTATTTTTAATTTAAATAGTCTTTAAAACATAGAACTGGAAGTGTACTTGCAAATGGCTCATCATATAACAATGTTAGCTTTGTTGTTATTGGCGACGCCGGTGAGCGGCGTCGTCTTATATGGAATGCTTTTTATTTTTGCCTATGGAAGGAGCTGTTATTATTAGCAGTTAATTTCATGTTGTGTTAATTATATTTATTTTGATTCGTAAAAATCAAGTAAACAAATATGTTGTTATATTTGTATTTAATAACTTTATATAAAAAGCATGTGCATTGTGATATAATTTTCACGAAATTGCAGGCTCTGATTAACAGCTTGTCCCTTTGTTTTATTGACAATACTAAAACCCGGATTTCGAATATCGTTGTGGTCTACATTGATGCTCATTCATTTATATATTTTTAAAACTTTCCTACAAGAAGAAAGTTCACCTGCAAATGAGTATTAGGATAGGTAATGGACTGTTGTAAACGATTATCCTATTGATTTTATCCATATTACGTTTATCTGTTGATCAGAATGGTTGTTTTTTACAAAGTGTACCAGTATCCGGATGTTGACAGCTATCCGATTTTCTGCAATTACTGCTGTCACATGGCCATCTACTTTTTTATGAATTCTTTACCATTAATTTGCATGGCATAATTAAAATGAGCCTGCAACATTTCTTAATTTTGATGTTTAGGGTGTTCTTTTGGGTTTCATGTTTTCTTTATTTCAAGGGGAAGTAACTCATGTTTACTAAATTATTTGTTCTTTTCCGTCTATCTTAGGTATTACTTACAATTTTTGTTTTATAAAATTTACCAGTTGTAAGGTCATCAAAAGCATAGAGGCCCTGATGAGTGAATATTGATATATATATATACTTTTACTGGCTTTATATACCCAATATATTTCATATTTATTTAATAGAAACTTGGAATTATTAATGTTATGTGCATACATTTATATCTTAGTATATTGGTATGATGAGACTTATAATATTTCTGAATTTAAAGAGTTGCAGTTATGTCATTATTATTAAAGGGATGAGACTTTCATTTAAAGTTATAAATGATAATACATGTATTGATTGAAAATGTCCTGAAACTTGGATCAAGCAATATAATTGATAAAGCCTCAAAAAATCATGTTCTGAATAGTTATTCTAATTTTTTTCTAACATGTGCATAGTTTGAAAAGGACAGCTTCTGACTTATCTATTTGTAATGGAGGGACACCGGTCTCAACCTCCAGGTCTCCTGAGCCAACCCGACAACAGACTTTACATTAGATAGTAGATTGTTACTAGTCCTTGAATAAATTTGTACACTAAATTTTATAGTGGGTGATTTGTGCCACATGAAAACCAACAAAGTACAAAAAGTAACCGGCGCCAGATGAAAACATGAAAATAAAATCTACCACAAAGTGGTTCGTTTGTTGCATTTTCATGTTTTCGCCCCGGTGCCCTTGATGTAAAATACAAATCAGCCTTCATAACATTTCTTATCATAGATATTGTACATGAGCACAGTTATATTCACTTTCAAATTGACCTGTTATAAATAATGGCACATTCAATAACTGTCTTAGCCCTTTTTAGTAAAAATAATTATACAATAATAATTATATAAATTGTTATTTTAATTATATAAAGACTATGAGTATGTAAGGTTTTTTTTCTTATTTATTAATTAAGAATTAATTATCTGTTAATTTAAAAATCTATATATCTGTCACGGTTTATAACTGTTCACTATTTAGGGGAGAAAATGTGTAAGCGGCCAGATAGCTCAATCGCTACAGCCGCGGTACATTATTCTGTGGGTCACAGGTTTGAGTTCTGGTCAAGCTGAAAGTTTTTCTAATCCTGTTACTGCAAATAACCATTAGTTTAATTTACTATGCTCTGTAAACATCAGAAATTCAAGTACATGAATCAATATAGTGGGGAAAAAGGTTTAGGTTTAGAACTGTTTCATTAATAAATAGAAAATGTGTAGCCGGCCGGATAGCTCAGTTGGTCTTCTGAAAGTCATGGGTTCGAGTCATGGTCAGGCAGTTTTAGTCAGGGTTTAGAAGTGGTTTTTCAACTGACACATGTTTGATTCATTTAATAGATTGCATTTAATTTGAAATGGACAAAGGCAGTATTGTGTGATACTTTTAAATCTACAAAAAGCATTTGGTACAGTTGATCACACTATACTGCACATGAAGAAGTTCTTTTTTCTTCTTCTTCATGGAACTTCAAGCATCTGCAGTATGTAATGACATTCTTGCATGGTTCAAGTCTTATCTCTGATAGCAGCTGGTGAATGTGGCTGGTACTCGTTCTCTCTGAATATCTATGGTGTCCCCCTGATGTTCATTTTAGGTCCTCTTTTATGTCTAATATATGTCAATGACATGTCTGCAACCCTAAGCAATAAGCTTTTATTTATATGCACAGGCACAAGTATCAGACCTGGGAAGAAAAAATATTACCAGATTGATAAAAAAAACCTGTGTTCATCTTAAAAGTGTCACAAACCAAAAAAAAAAATGTAAATGATGACCCCCTTTAAAAATATACTTAAAGTTAATAGTATATTTTTAAAAGGGGGTCATTATTTACATATTTTTTTTGGTTTTTGACACTTTTAAGATGAACACAGATTTTTTATTAATCTGGTCATATTTTTTCTTCCCAGGTGTGATACTTGTGCCTGTGATGATGACTCAGGTATCCTTGTATCTGGTAAAGTAAATCTTAAGATTGGTTTATTGACTATAAATTGTCTTTGCATCTTGGCAAGACAGAGTCTATTCTTTTTGGTTTAAGTTTCAACATAAACTGGGCCAAGCCTCCAGGTCACATGAAATGGTACTGCTATAAAGTACACATCTTTTGTTAAGTATTTAGGTGCAAACCTGGATCAAATTCTTTTGGCGTCGCCCTTTGATGCTTTGCATCAATGCTTTTCTTGTATGAATTTTGGCCTACTTTCACTTTGGACAGACTTTGTGAAAACAAACATGGCTGACAAAGCGGAATCACCTTAAAATGACTGGGTAACAGCGGCATATTAAGATGACTGCGTGTCACGAAAAGAACTTAAATAGAAAAAAGACGCACCCCTTTTCGTTGTCAGAAAATCTTTTTTGTTGCCTATATTGAGCCATAATTTGTTGGTTTTGCTGGTCCAGACGTGGTGGTGTCTTGTCAAATTGTGACAGTCCGGTTGTAAATAAGGTGGTTTTCTATTGGTTATCTTTACAAAGGGTAACCAATGAAAGTTTTTGTCTTGTTTTCTTCTAAGTATTCGGAAATGTTCGTGTTTTATGGTCTCGTGTTAGTAAACGAGATTTAACGAGACTTTCAAATTTATGCATTTAGCAGCCATGTTATGAGAAAACAAAGCCAATTTCCTTGAAAATATATAACGTTTTTCTTAGTTTCTAAAGAATAGTTAAGGTCCTGCTGTTGCTATGAGCGCGGAGACTGGAGACACGAAAGGTAAAAAATTGCTTATAGTTTATTTAGTTGTATAATTGTTATGATTAGATGAATTGAAATTATCCATCGTGTTCAAATTCAATGAACGATCAATTTGATGATGATGTGATGGTTTTGCAAATGTTAATGACGTAGGTTGTGTATGATTTTAGCTGACAACATTGACACATGCTTTTCCACATACCTGTCAATGGTAAAGGGACAAGTCAACCTTATACATGTAAATAACTCGGCAATGGGTCGCCCTGTTAAAAACCTATTAGGATATAGATTGTTTAGTTAATAAACTCTTTCATGCGTAAATTAATGTACAATTATTCACAGTTATGATTACCAACAGATAGAAAGTCAGCGGCGTATTACTAATATGAAATTAGGCAAAGCCTATGAACTGGGAAGTGGGTTAAAAAAGGAATCCGGGTCAGCTCGGCCCTAAAACATACTCGGCCCCCCGAGTCAGCTCGGCCCTTTTCCAACTCGGCACGGGTCAACTCGGCCCACTTTTTAATTATTAATATTTAGGTTTGAGTTATCACTTTTTATTGTTATTATTGTAATTATTTATAAAACACGGATTGACAGTTTCAGAACTAGCAGCAGACAAGCTTTTCTTATCAGTAGAATTGCGAGTAAAGATAACCGCGATTGCCTATTTCACTGTATTTCTGACTCGTGGTAGGTTTAACCGTAAATTTAATTACCTTCAGTGTCAAACAATGTGTTGTAATATATACTGAGAGGAAGCTAAGATCGCCAGCTTTTAATTGGTGTAACAAATTTTAAAATCGGACATTTAATCGCCCCAAACTAGCGATTTAAACACGGCTAAATTTGCATTCTTTTGCAAGCGAAGGGAAACAAGTCTTGATTTTTCACTCAATGTACCTCGGTTATTTTCATAGTTCGACAGAGAGAGTTTATAAATATAAGACAAATAAATAACATTTTCTTTCTATTTCTTTATTTCGGCAGAAGTACAATGTATAATTATACAATTTAATAAGATATTTCTTATTATTCATTTACCTTAACAAAATGCAAAGCAAAGTTAATACGTTATATATATTTTTGTTAAGTGGGCTGAGTTGACCTGTGCCGAGTTGACCCGTGCCGAGTTGGTATAGGGTCGAGTTGACTCTTTTCCTTAAAAAAGGTAGTTGATTTTCCACCTTTGACTTCCCGGTATAAATGTTTGAAATTATGTTTGTTTAGAACTAGAAGACATACCAAGATGAGATGTTTTCTGATTGGAAGTGGCTAGCGGTACAGGCCAGTTGCGGTGAAGTCAAAGACAGGGTCCCAGGCTTTGGCTTCCTATAATGAAAAATCTCAACTTTTTTGCTAAAAAATAATTGTTGAGGTGTTCTGAGTGAAAACGGAAGCTATGCATGAAATACCAAGTGACAACTTTAGAATGGAAAATTTTAAATAAAAAATAAATGATTATTTTAACCAACTTCCCTTTCATAGGCTTTGCCTAATTTCATAATAATCAATACCACGAATGAAAACAAACATGGCAGAAGCGTTCCATATATGATGAAGATTAACTGTATTAAAGTCAAAAAGATTGTCAGATGCGCAACTTGGAGCACATTGACTCCATTAAAATGCGTGGGCTGCAAAAAATAGACGCAATCGTGCGGCCTAGATGCAACACTGATGAAAATATTTAACTATAAAAGTAATGATATAAAATATATAAAAGTTATAGCAGTAATCATTACCAGTAATGATCTACTCACTCTGTATAATCCTTTGTTTAAATAAATATTAAAAAACCTAGTACTAGGGAAGGTGTATTGTATATACCACTATTACATAAAGACATTAATTATAAAGAAATATTATTAAATGATTTTTAATGGTCATTATTATAAACTCAGCATTGATTTAAAGCAAAAAAAACAACAACAAAAAACTGATAAACACTTACCCTCTGCATATAAATAACTATATAATTGTAATGTATGAAGGAAAAAAATAGCATATTTTTGGAAGGCTTTTTGGAAGGCTTTAATGAAATAAAGTCATTCAATCATCAAAAAATAATTGGGAAATAATTCATTTAAGCTTTCAATATATGAAACAAATAATAAAGTTGATGAAAGAGTATTGAATTGTTAAAGAACTTACACCTTCAAATCAAACCAAACAGAATTTATACCATTTTGTTTGCAAAAAAAAAAGGAAAATGCTAAAAAAAACTGAGATATTTCGAACACTTGCATAAGCCTATCTTCTAAAATTACAAATTAAGACATTAATAATAGTAATGACTCTTAGACGCTTTACAAAAAATTAAAACAGCAACAGTTGTTATTTGGCAGATAATCAGGTAAATCAGCTCCTTTGTCAACTTGAAACATCACCATTTTTGCGCCTCTACAAGTGATGATGCTCCAAAATGTATCCATTTTTACTCTTGTTTTGTTGAGAAACAAGATTTTGCAATCTTAAAAAAAAATTCAAATATATTGCAAAAATTTAATGTGGAATATTACTGTAAATGTTCTCAACATCTCATACCAGCTAAATTTGAAATCTTGCTGTGAACTGTGATAACTGAAAATTAACAATATCTTGTAATATACCTCCTGCAAGGACCAAATATTGACTTGTTTCTTAAATGCGTATATAGACAGCCGAGTGATCTTGGGCCATTATGACTATCATGTGGTATGAATTTCCTTATTATTTTGTGGTTAATTGATGCAATGTTATACTAATATTATTAACATTTTATTTACAACTATGTTATTATCTTGTTAGGAGAAGGAGTAGAGAATGTTTTGGATGATATTCTTGATGGTAACCCCGGAGATGATGATCTCAACACAGAAGATAATGTTGAAGATAACCCTTCTGCAACAACGACCAGTAAGTCTTATGATATAACAGTACACAAAATGTATTAAGGTGAATCCTTTTTAGAGAAGTGGTTAATTTAGGATTGGCTAAGTTTGTTTATCTTGTCTATCTTATCATTGGTAAATATGTGTATATAAAACGGAAAACTGTTTTTCAAAATGTTTGAGATGATCAATAAATAGTTTGAAGAAATATTTTTTACTGTAAGATTAAAATAAGAAATGGAGAAAATTGCATTAAAAGTACTGTATTTTTTTTTCAGAGAAAAAAATTGTAAAGAAAAAGGTTGCAGTGAAAACATCAAAAGCAAAAGGGAAAGTATCAGCAACTACTAAAAAAGCTGCGGCAGTCAAAGCTGCTGCTAAAAAGGCTGAATCAGTGAAGGCTGATGATTCTATTTCTGAGGAGAAGCCAGAAGAAACAACACCAAAGAAAGTCGTAAAGAAAACACCAACAAAAAGAGCAGTAACCAAAAGTAATCAGATTTAAGACATAACAAGATTTACTCAGATTTATGATGATAAAGTTTTTTTTTTCTATGCTCCTACTTAATATATGGAGAGCATAATACAATGTGGTGGTCCATCTATGACGTCCTGTTGACCTTGTCTGATTAATTTCTTTAAGGTTATTCTGGAAAAAGCCATAGTTATGTAACTTGGTAGGGACATTGGCCATGGCTAGTAGGTGAACCAAACCCTATTGATTTTAAGGTCTTTAGGTCAAAAGTCAAAGTGACTCTCAGGTTATTAGTTGTGGTCACTTCCTCTGATATTGAATAGTCAATGAATTCATTTTGGTCAAATCTGTAGGTCAGATTTTGATATAATAAAAGTGAAATGACCTGGTGTTGGTGACCTAGTACTAATATTGTTAAATTAACTACTTTGATTTGTGAAGAAAAGAAAAGAACTTAACCATGGCCCTTAGGGGACTGAGGTTGTGTTTCCCTTTATGAAAAAAACCTTTTTTCAGTTTTAGAGCAATTATGGCCATGATGTCTCCCCTGTGTTATCACTAATTTTCAATGCGATATTTGTTTCCTCTATCTATGACAACTTTGGCCAAATTGAAATTTGAATTTTGAAATTTATGTCCCAATTGTGAGAAATATTTGGTATTACAAAATAATCAAAACTAATTTTAATGTCTTTCTTTAATGCATTTTTTCTTGTGATATTATTATAATGAAACAGTAACAACAAATTTAATTAATAAAGTCAGTTTTAAAAGGAGGTGTTTTAATTGTATAAAGTAGTACATGTGTAATACTTAAGATTATTCCAAAGTGATTCAAGTTTCAGTTTCAAGTCTGATACACACAGTTTCAAGTCTGTGGCACAAAACATTTAGTTTTAAGCAAATGTGAACAAATGTTATATTGCATGTTTCAGCTGGAAAAGTCTCTGCTGAGAAGAAAGCAAGAAAGACTGTTGTGGCTGATGTAATAGAGGAAGCTTCAGAGGTTGATGACGATTTTAAAGATGATGATGATAAAAATAACACAGATCCTGGTATGTTGGATATAGCATAATTACTAAAATCTCAGTGAAAAAATCTTTAAATAAAATGTAAACATGGGATATTTACTTTTTTAATGCTTTTAAATAAGAAGCAGTTAAATGTACATGTTTAGTAGTTAGATGTAAAAAAATATTTATTTTTTTTTTTAGATTTTTAATAACTTTTTTTAAACAATGCTTTATAATATGTCTAAGATTTTTTATACGTATATATAGATGTTATTGTAAATGGTAGTAAAGTGCTTTTTATTATACTTGTAGCACTTTAAAACAGCTATGTTTGAAAGATGTGAAACATAAGCTGTGACTTTGCTTTAATACCTTCCAACTTGAAAATTTCCCTGGAGAATTAATGGTGTTGCATGTGCTTGAAGTTCTGTATTTTTCTCTGAGTTGCTATGTTGTTAAAATGCTTTCAAATGGTTTACAGAAGGACATTTGATTGTTGTAGATATATTTTATATTTAATTACAAGTTCATGAATCATTCAAAGGTTTTGAAAATGACACCTTTTTATATATTTAGTATTATTTTGTATTTATTGATTTTGTTCATATCATGATGAATTAAAATAGAATTTTTGTGTCGCCTTGAAAAAGGCGACATATAGGGGTTACTTTTGTCGGCGGCGTCGTTGTCGTCGTCGGTGTCGGCGTCGGCGTCCCCTTAAGCTTGTCCGGAGCATAAGTCAGTCATTATAAGTTGGATTGACTTCAAACTTGGTATGCATGCTTCTTATAATGACCCGAAGTGCAGTGCATAAGAACCAGTACTCTGCACTTCCTATTTTTTGAGTTATTGCCCTTTGTTAAATTTCATACTGCATTTTTGTCCGGGCCATTACTCCTAAAGAATAAAAGCTATGGACTTGAAACTTCATAGGATGATAGTTCTCATTAAGAAGAAGTGCAGTGCACAAGAACTGGTACTCTGCATTTCTTATTTTATGAGTTATTGCCCTTTGTTAATTTTCATACCTTATTTTTGTCCGGACCATTTCTCCTAAAGTATAAAAGCTATGGACTTGAAACTTCATAGGATGATAGATCTCATTAAGAAGAAGTGCAGTGCACAAGAACTGGTACTCTGCATTTCTTATTTTTTGAGTTATTGCCCTTTGTTAATTTTCATACTTTATTTTTGTCCGGGCCATTTCTCCTAAAGTAAAAAAGCTATGGACTTTAAACTTCATAGGATGATAGGTCTCATTAAGAAGAAGTGCAGTGCACAAGAACTGGTACTCTGCATTTCTTATTTTTTGAGTTATTGCCCTTTGTTAATTTTCATACTTTATTTTTGTCCGGGCCATTTCTCCTAAAGTATAAAAGCTATGGACTTGAAACTTCATAAGATGATATATCTCATTAAGAAGGAGTGCAGTGCACAAGAACAGGTACTCTGCAATTCTTATTTTTTATGCCCCCGCCATATAATGGCAGGGGCATATAGTGTTACCCTGTTCCGTCATTCCGTCTTTCCGTCCTTCCGTCATCATCAGTTTCCGTTCATTATCTTAATAACCCTTGCACATATTGAACTCAAATTTGACATATGGATATGTCATGAGAAAATACAGGTCAAGTTCGAAATTGGTCATGGTTCAATGATTTTTGGCAGAGTTATGCCCCTTTTACATTGAAAATAATATGAAATTTTCAGTTTCCGTTCATTATCTCCCAAACGGTTCAAAACATTCAATTCAAAATTGACATATGGATATGTCATGAGAAAATACAGGTCAAGTTCGAAATTGGTCATGGTTCGATGATTTTTGGCAGAGTTATGCCCCTTTCACTTTGAAAATAATATGAAATTTTCAGTTTCCGTTCATTATCTCCCCAATCGTACAACACATTTAGCTCAAACTTGACATATCGATACGTCAAAGGAATGCGCAGGTCAAGTTCAAATTTGGTCATGGTTCGATGATTTTTGGCAGAGTTATGCCCCTTTTACTTTGAAAATAATATGAAATTTTCAGTTTCTGTTTATTATCTCCCCAACAGTATTAAACATTCAACTCAAATTTGACATATTGATACGTCAAAGGAATGCGCAGGTCAATTTCAAATTTGGTCATGGTTCGATGATTTTTTGACAGAGTTATGCCCCTTTCACTTTAAAAATAATATGAAATTTTCAGTTTTCGTTTATTATCTCCCAACAATATTACACATTCAACTCAAATTTGACATATGGATATGTTTTTGGAATGCGCAGACCAAGTTCGAATCTGGTCATGGTTCAATGATTTTTGGCAGAGTAATGCCCCTTTCACTTTGAAAATGATATGAAATTTACAGTTTCTGTTCATTATCAACCCAACAGTGTTACATATTCAACTCAAAATTGACATATGGATATGTCAAAGGAATGCGCAGGTCAAGTTGGAATTTGGTCATGGTTCGATGATTTTTTGGCAGAGTTATGTCCCTTTCACTTTGAAAATAATATAGATACATCTTAGGAATAAGCAGTTTAAGTTTGAATTTGGTCGTGGTTCAATGATTTTAGACAAACTTATCTTTCCTGAATGTTGGAAAAATTTTGAACTTTCAGTTTCAGCACTCATACTTTTGTGGAAATGTAATAGCCATTATGTTGGCTACAAATATGCAATATGCTATTTTTAAAAGGTTAAGACTGAATAATTTCAGTGCCTTGAACATTGTATAAAAATGGTTAAGACTGAATAATTTCAGTGCCTTGAACATTGTATAAAAATGGTTTGTGTTAACATTGAAAAGTTTTAAGGGCTTTGAACTTAGAATGAAAAAAATAATTTGTGCAAACAAATTTGGAACTAAATATTATAACATTTGAAATTTTGGCTGCATGCGGGGGCATCCGTGGCATGATGACACATTTCTAGTTTGAGTTATTGTCCTTTGTTTATTTTCATACTTTATTTTTGTCCAGGCCATTTCTCAATAATTATAAAAGCTTTAGATATGAAATTTAATAGGATGATAGATCTTATTGATAAGAAGTGCAGTGCACAGAAACTGCTGCTCTGCATTTCTTATTTTTTGAGTTATTGCCCTTTGTTGATTTTCAAATTTCATTTTTGTCCTGGCCATTTCTCCTTTACTACATTGTTCACAAGGCGACACATCCGACTCGCGGAGTTCTAGTATTATTTACATAGTTACCAAATTATTTTAAACCAGTGGTAATTTTGCTTTTAAATGTTTTTGAATTCTTTTGTTGAATTTCTAAAAGTTCAAACACATTTCTCCTGACCTTACTTTGTATTTGGAGAAAAGGATAACATAAATGTATGTTATTAAAATTAATAGGGAACTGGGTAATTTATAAAAGAACATCCCACTTATATATTGAATTTATAGAGAAATAATAAAACAAAAGCAATGATATTCATATGAAATGCTATAGCAGAAAGTTATAATCTGGTTTATTTGGAGCTATGTGACTGTCATTTCCACAGAGACAGAGCTCCTGGATTTGGTCAAGACTTCTAAAGAATCGATGAAAGATACAGATATTGTTGATATTCTACAAGATTACGAATTGGAAAAGACATCCATAGGTACTAATTGAATCAAGATAGTTGTGAATCTAAATTCCTTATTTATTTATATGCTTTCTTTTATTTTTGATGATAATTTGCCAGTTGCTGTGCATGGTAGTGAATGTAGTGCTTGTGATTTATTTTACTGGTAAAATGTTGTGATTAGTAAGAAACCTTTCAACAGACCAAAGACAGCTAAATTTTTTTAATGATAAGAAATGGTGTCATTTTCCTGATAACCTTTGATCAGATATAAATAACGGATGGTTTAATTAGGTATGTAAATGTCAAAGTAAGTAAACCATTTGAAAGTTGATTGCCACTTCTTTACTTCATCAAGCTCAATTTCTCCAAAAAAAAAAAGAAGTTTTAATATTACAGCTGAGCACGAGTTATCATTAAACAATAGTGAAGTAAATGATAGTAACTTACATGAAACATCAGAGGAGATCCTGAATCCTGAGGTGATGGAGAATGACTTTGACACTCGTAGTGAGACCAGTGAACAGCATAGTCAGGATGTTCTGTCTGGTGGTGGATCAGAAATGGGTATATATCAATATGAGCTGCGTCTTGACAAAACCAACGTTATGCGTTTGCGACCAGCATGGATCCAGACCAGCCTGCGCGTCTGCGCAGTCTGATCAGGATCCATACTTTTCGCTTACCAACTCTATTACAAGTAGATAAACTGATAGCAAAGAGCATGGATCCTGATCAGACTTTGCGGATGTGCAGACTGGTCTGGATCCATGCTGGAAGCAAACGCACTATGTTGGTTTCTTCGTGACGCGGCTGAAATATTTCAACAGAACCATTCAGAAACATTTCATTCTTGTTGTGCTGAATAGAAATAAATGAATAATTGATATTACTTCAGTAGTAGGATGATCAGTACAAGAGTATTTATAAGATAATTAAACCATTGAACTTTACTGTTTTTAAAGCTGTTGAAAAAGAAAAATCTGTTGAAAGGTTTAAAGCTTCTTTTCTTTATTTTTTTTCTTGTTTACTTATAAATGAATTTTGGCATGTGTGAAAACTGCTTTGCAGTCAAATGCTGATTGTAGATAAGTTTGATTATATCTCTTATGTGAGCATGATGAGTATTTTGATCATGCCAGATTGCAACAATTTATGTTTATCTTCCTAGTTGATGAAAGAAAATGCTTGTTTCTCGTAATTTCACCTTCTTGACTCTTTACTTGCTTTAAACCGAAAGTGGTTAGCCTTTGCCACCAGTTAGGAGCAAGTTCAGCTTGCACACCTATATTTGATATTGATGTACATTAAACTCAAATTGACTGATGTAAAATCCAGTACTCGCATTCAACTGGTTAAGGCTTAAAGTAAAGAATGTATAAATCAAATGACATACTATTTAGTGCCTGAAACTATTGCTTGCAACACCTTGATATAACCGGTTAAACCTTAAAGTAAAGAATGTATAAATCAAATAATATGCTATTTAGTGCCTGAAACTATTGCTTGCATCACCTTGATATCTCCTTGATTCATTATCACATTGCTATAAGCATATAAATGTAAATGGCTATGATTTCATAACATCAGATTAAAAGATCTGTTTATTTTATGTTAAATATTTACTTAAATTCAAGTTGAACAAAATGATAAGTATGAGATCATGAGTATCAATCTATTAATTGTAAATATTTGTATTGTATTGTAGAGTCTGATGGTGAAGGTGGGGATGAAGAGGGAAATCCTCGCAAGAGGAAATCATCTGATGGGCGGGCAATCTCACCTATAGAGTGGGATAAAAGTGAGGAAGAGGAGGAGGATGAAGATGATGATGAGAAGTCTGGTGATGAAGGCAGTGATAAAGGAAGTAAAAAATCTGGTGATGATGAGGAAAAGGGTGAGTTTGATACATCAGTTATACATAGCCTGGTGTTGAGTAGAGCCTGGTATTGAGTAGAAGGTGATAAAGAAATTGGGAGGGTAAGGTATAAGTGCTGTTTAGGATAGTAGATAATGGTGAAGCTAGAAGTTCTTACAGTAATCTGAGAAGAAAGTTCAGATTTTGAAATAAATGTAATACAACTGTAGCAAGATAAATTCTGAAACAAAGTGTAAAATAAAAGGTCCATTGTGAAGTAGAATTTTTTTTTCTCAAAAGCTTTTTATTGTTTGTACACTTTTAGTTTCAGAAAGTTACCCATTTGCCAATTTATTGATCTGTCTTCATCTTATGTTGAATTTTGGCAATTAATTACAATAATAAAATATTTTGTATTTAAGTCAAAATATTACTTTTATGACAATTAATTCACATGTAGCACTACTTTCCTAAGGTAACAAGTGACTTATATGCCATAAACCATTGTTTGAGTAAAATGGGAATGTATTTGTTTCATTTCAGCTCGAAAGAAGAAGTTGAAATACTTCTTTAAGAATGCAAGGTACTACCTTGTGAAAAGTAACAATCATGAAAATGTTGCATTAGCTAAAGCAAAATGTGTATGGTCCACTCCTCCACAGAATGAAGCAAGGCTCAACCAGGCATACAGGGTAATCTTTAATATCTGATATGTGCAGGCTGTATAAAACTACTGAAAAATATGCTTTTATCAGGAAGCTTGTCTGTCATATTTTATTTCATGCATATAATAGCCATAGGATTTCCAAAAATTCTTGTTGTTTAAAAATATTGTCATGCTTTGGTAATTACAAAATATTTGTACCCTCTTTGTAACTTCAAGATACTATTTTTATTTGTGACAAGAATTGGAAGATGTTAAGATTGTAAGTCATTATTACTTTCAATTTTTTTTATTTATAGGAATGTGATAATGTAATTCTTGTATTTTCTGTGAAAGAAAGTGGTAAATTTCAAGGTATGTGCTTTTGATAATACTTAATAATAATTTTACATTTCTGAATCATGCCATAATATTTAGATTGCTTAGTTGGACACTTTCCACACAGATCAGCAAGCAATTTGTTTCTGAAATTTACATAGTGGTAAAAGTGGCATACAACCTGTACATGTTAATCCAAATGAGACCAACTTTGCTTTTGCTTTTCTAAGCAAACTAGATGAATGGTTACTATTTAGAAAAATGTTCCCTGTCTATTCTGTTACACCATGAAAGTGACTATATCTTGACTAGACCAAAATTTATATGTCAAAATGAGTCTTTTTACATCATTATACCCCCGCACCGCACAACAAAGTTGTAAGGGGGGTATACTGGAATCAGCTTGTCCGTCCGTCCGTCCGTCGGTTTTTTCTTGTCCGCCCAATAACTTAAGATTCCTTTGACCCTTAGTCTTCATATTTGGCATGGAGGTTAGTCATGATTAGTAGATGACCCCTATTGATTTTGAGGTCACTAGGTCAAAGGTCAAGGTCACAGGGGCCTTGACTTCAAAAAGCTTGTCCGCCCAATAACTTAAGATTCCTTTGACCTACAGTCGTCATATTTGGCATGGAGGTTAGTCATGATTAGTAGATGACCCCTATTGATTTTGAGGTCACTAGGTCAAAGGTCAAGGTCACAGGGGCCTTGACTTCAAAAAGCTTGTCCGCCCAATAACTTAAGATTCCTTTGACCCACAGTCTTCATATTTGGCATGGAGGCTAGTCATGATAAATGACCCCTATTGACTTTAAGGTCAAAGGTCAAGGTCATGGGGGCCTTGACTTCAAAAAGCTTGTCCGCCCAATAACTTAAGATTCCTTTGACCCACAGTCTTCATATTTGGCATGGAGGTTAGTCATGATTAGTAGATGACCTCTATTGATTTTGAGGTCACCAGGTCAAAGGTCAAGGTCACAGGGACTTTGACTTCAAAAAGTTTGTCTGCCCAATAACTTAAGATTCCTTTGACCCACAGTCTTCATATTTGGCATGGATGTTGATCATGATTAGTAGATGACCCCTTTTGATTTTGAGGTCACTGGATCAAAGGTCAAGGTCATAGGGACTTTGACTTCAAAAAGTTTGTCCACCCATTAACTTAAGATTCCTTTGACCCACAGTCTTCATATTTGGCATGGATGTTGATCATGACTATAAGGTGACCCCTATTGATTTTGAGGTCACTGGGTCAAAGGTCAATGTCACAGGGACCTTGACTAAAAAAAAGCTTTTCTTCTCAATTGCTAAAGAGTGTCCTGTCCGCAATGTATTGATTTTGACATTTTCACATTTGAAGCATGTAGAATACTAAACTTAGCAATGCACTGGCTTAGTAACCTCAGATTTGGCAGGGAGGTTGTCCTTGAGCTCTAAATGGCCACTGTTGATTCTGACAAAGTGGTATGCGGGGGTATTCACGCCATGATAGTGGCAGTTCTAGTTCCTTCAGCTTCGCTATTGAAAATGTATTATGATTTTATCGTAGAATCTTGATTGTTTAAAAATACATTAGCATGATACAATAACATAAAATGGACAGAGTTTGTAATGTTCAATTCTTTGTTAGTTAATATCCACTATAGCATAGATCTGTTTTATTTTTGTTTAATTTGTTACACCATTGTATTATGTCATGAAGTAATAAACAATAGGTAGCTACATGTCTATGAAAATGTTATCTCTAATATACATGAGTTATAAATCATTAGGTTGTGCACGATTAGCAGCACCTTCAACAAAAGATCATCCACCAATACGATGGGTACTACCTCCAGGTCTCAGTGCTAAGGCATTAAGTGGAGTCTTCAAACTAGATTGGATCAGCAGGTAAGTTTTTCATTAAATTAAATAAACAATCAATTCGAATCCATGTGCTGGATATTGGTAAACTATACTAGTACTTATACTAATGGTTAGTTTTTAGTATAGGTATGCAGTCAGTGTAGGACTATATAAGAAATGAGAACTTATTCTATAGCAAATGTAATATAAATTCATGTAGAAAAATGAAGTTTTGATGAACCAAAGCTGAGTAGACATATATTAATTAAAAAATATTATGATGGCATGTTTTCAATGTAAAAATTGTTTTTCTACATTTGTAAAAATGATAGAAAGAATGGTAGAAATTTGCCGGACACTTATGAATAGTATAATCTGTTTAATGTGTACTTTTATGTTTGTTTCTAGGCGTGAACTAGATTTCATGAAGACTACACATCTACATAATAATTGGAATGAAAACCGTCCAGTCAAAATTGGGAGAGATGGGCAGGTACTAAACAGAATTCAGCATAATTTGATAAAAGATGGATAAGTATTTAGATATCATGACATTGGAAGAAAAATGTTGGCAATAGACATCCTGTTATTTATCACACTTAAAACATATTGTACAAAAACACTTCTTAAATGTTAAGATAAGTAAATTATTATCATTATTCAAGAAATGTAATAATGATAAAACTGTTTAATTGTATTTATTGTTTGGGGTTGATGTTTGGGTATTCTTTAGAAAGAATTTAGTGTAGTACAACCATGTATGTTTTCTGTTGTCAGGAGATCGAACCAAGATGTGGTGAAGCTCTTTGCAAGTTGTTTCCCACTGATGATAATGTGGATTTGAACGATATAGTGCGCGAAGCTAAACGAACAAGTGCTAGGCGAGGAGATTTTAATTCCAGAACAAATCGAGGGAGAGATTCTTTCAGAGGTCGCGGGGATTTTAGGTTAGAACTATTCCTTTTTGGACTGTATATAAAACATATGCAGCAAAGGAAATTGATCAGTGTGAAAAATATGTGTTGTAGTTGAGAAAAAAAATCTAAAAAAAAAAAAAAGAGAACCTTTATTAAGTAGGTTCTGAAAATAGAAAAATTCAGGTGATAAATGATAAAATGGGGTCAGAAATTCAAGGGGTTTAAATGTATACATTAAATAAATGGTAAGTAAATTTCTTTTATAGGGCATGATCTTTGACAAATCATCATTTTATGTGGGTTTGTCTAATTAAATTTTATTTCCTTTTTGGGATATTTCAGGAAAATATCCTCACCACGATTAAAGGGGTAAAACGCGCCTTAGCATACCAGAATAATCTTTAATAAAGACGAGAGTATAAAGATTAATAAGAACTTTTAGCATAATCAAGCCTCGTGTCAAAGTAGGAAGTGTAAAATAACGGACTAATTTGGACTTAAAATTAGTAAATTATTAGTAAATACGGACTTGCGTAGATATATAAATATCGGAAAATGAATAAAGGCAGGCAGTGAAGTATGCATGCAGTTCTCAAAAGACTTTCTATTAAAGTGAAATGAAATTAGTTGATAAAATATATCGAGCTTAATAAATAACCACATAGAATAATTCCGTAAATAAAAAGGACATTTTCAGGTAGATAGAAGATCGTGTGCGAAATTGACTTAATCCTTTATTTAGTTTTTCCCCCGAGAAGATTCCATGCAATGGACAATCTATTGCAAGTGTTAGAAACTACAGCTGTTTTTATTTCTACATTTCTACTTACGTCTGGACTAGTGTTTTGTTTTTATATATCTATGTGGACATTTAGTTTTTGTGTGGTTATTTGGAGAAGTAAACCACACATTCACATTGTTGAAATGTGACTGTGTGAACTTGCATTATGAACTGTGCATTGTGTTAGTTAGTCACATATATCTGTCCAGCACTTTTGGATATTTATTATATTGGTGACTTCTTTCGGAGCGCAGAGCCCTCCAAAATAACGCTGGGAGATTTATAAAACACACTACGGTAGGTTTGTATAACATGTTAACATTATTTTGGAAATGGTTTTGCTTAGTCACAGCTTCTTGAAGTTTGAAATTTATTTGTAATATAATATTTTCTTAGATAAAAAAAGATAAAAGATATTTGATTATCGGTTTTCTATACAAATATACATAGTGAAAAAACAAAACATTGGAAATGTTGATGTGATGATACAGAGTTCAAACTTCAAACAAAGCTTTTGACAATATACAGCAGTTACATCAACATTTAATGAAAAGTATATTGTAAATAAATTACATAGATTAAATGTATGATGTGTGATTTAATTATTTACATTCTTGTCAAATAAGTACTTTTTTCCCAAGAATTCACAAAAATTAATTTACAATTTGCTCTTTTCATAAATGTTGTAATCTGCAGATGGAAACTGCTTACCTTGGATATGTCATAAATAATATCAATATAAAGTCTTTGTAAGATAACTCGAGAACTAAGGCAGGAAATAATAAATAACAATCTTTATTATCTATTTTCTCAAAAATTTATTTTAAAAAGTTGCAACACTTCATTATTTATTTCCTGATTTAGTTATTTTTTACACAATCTCTTTAGTAATTAATAATCAAGGACATGGTATATGTAATTTGATATATTATTTCTATGTAATACATAAATGTTCAAATTGATTAATAAAGAGATTTGTAATAAGATATCTTCAGTATTTAAATGTGTTACTTGTTTAAAAGGTCTAAATATTTATTTGTTCTTTACTTATAGTTATACAGTCTATAACAAAGATTATTTATTAAATGTTAGTGTTTTTTAAGTTGTTTAGATCAGGCCAGTCAAACTTCAAATGCTATGTTTGTTTCTTGAAACTTTTATGTTGATACAGTTCAGTACATATTATATCAAAGACAGCAAATGGATGAAGTGGTCATTGCATTATTTCATTCTTACATAAATAGGAGGCAAAGAAATAGATATACTGAAGATATCTTGTATGTATATTACTTAACAAACTAAAGATGTCATTTTTGTGAGAAAATCTTCATTATAAATGTAAAGTATTAATTGCAAAATGTTGGCCAGTGAATTTTCAGTAATTAACTTGCAGAAATGATATCTAAATGAGGGACATTCTTAAAATAGCAAACCATATAGTTTAATTCCTTGCTTAAATTTAATCAACTACTTTTTGGATGAACATGTTTTGTAATTATGTAATGAAGCAAATTATTTGAATAAATATCCAACAAATGTTACCTGATGACCAACTTTCAGAAGGCGAAGACCAGACTTTAGAAGAGATTATGGTCCTCCACCAAAACGTAGTCGACAAGACTTCGGCAGGGATAGAGGTAATTTCTAATTGTGTTCTTATATTATTTCATACGTTTCAAACAGATGACATAGAAGATCAGTCTGTTTATATATAGGTTGGATTTTGTCAAAAATGTTTCCCCTGTCCAACCAACCAGTTTTGATAAAAGCAAGTGTTCAAAAAACATCATAGTCAAATGATTCCAAACTCCATAAATGTTTTAACCTGTATCATTCATCACCTAGACCTAGTAATGGAAATTTGCCTAATATTTTGTCAAAGTTCAGTCAGTGAAACCAATCCTAACCAGATCACACGGTCACTGCATACAGTAATTATACTGGTTTTGTACTGCTGTTTTATTGTGTAATATAGATAGTAATGATATTTATTAGTCCCCTACCGGTTTACCGGAGGGGACTTTAGGTTTACCCTCCGTCCGTCTGTCCGTCCGCACTCACAGGAGAGTAATTATGTGGCTAGAGGGACAATAGGTAACTGTTCTTTCTCTTTGATGTCATTCATTCCGTAATGCTTTTATGTGGTTATTTTCTTTTGTGTGGCTAAAAAGAACAATAGAGAGAACAATAGAGTAGCCACATAATTACTGTCCTGTGAGAACGTCCGTTCGTCCGTCCGTCCACAAAACTGGATCCCGCGATAACGCAAAAAGTACTGAAAATATTTTAATGAAACTTGATATATGGATAGATGGCAGTATGGAGATTATGCACGTCTTTTTCTTTTCTTCCTATGTTGAAAATTCTGGTTGCTATGGCAACAAATAGACTGAAAATATGGCAAATTTTACTCATAACCTGGATCCCGCGATAATGCAAAAAGTACTGAAAATATTTTTATGAAACTTGATATATGGATAGATGGCAGTATGGACATTATGCACGTCTTTTTCTTTTCTTCCTATGTTGAAAATTCTGGTTGCTATGGCAACAAATAGACTGAAAATATGGCAAATTTTACACATAACCTGGATCCAGTGATAACACAAAAAGTACTGAAAATATGTTTATGAAACTTGACATATGGGTAGATGGCAGTATGGAAATTATGCACATTGTTTTCTTATCTTCCTATGTTGAAAATTCTGGTTGCTATGGCAACAAATAGACTGAATTTCAAGATTTCTGATTCTAGTTTTTAAGTTTTTTCACCATGAGTTCTTTATTTCTTAAGGTATTTTCTTCAAACTTTAAATATAAGTTGCTTGTCATCAACCACATCATATGTGACAAGGTTTACAACTCTAGCACAAAATCTATCAGAATTACCTCCCTTGAACTTAAAATTTTCATGAAAAAAACATTGTTTTTTTTAATAACTTCTTTTTCTGAATGTATCTACTTCAAACTTCATATAAATGTTTCTTATTATCACTCAACATTTGTGAGTGTTCAATACTCTAGCAAGACTATTTCCAGAATTATGCCCCTTTTGAACTTAGACTTTTTTTTGAGAAATTGGTAATTTTTACTCCATTTTCATGATAGGATTTTAAAAATGTTATATTTTGATAACAGGGATGTTTAAAAAATAACTTTAGAGTGTCCTTCAGTCCGTCTGTCTGTACATAAGAATTGTTTCCTGTGATCACTTTTAAAGAACTTTTTCAACAAATTTACTTAAAATAGGAACCTAAGTGAATGGCCAATGGCCCTTCAGAATGTTGCTTGGGCTCTTACCGGTAGGGGACTTATGGATTGCTTGCAATACTATGATAATTGCTTGTTTTATTGGGATCTCCAGAAATTTATTGACTAAGTAACATTTTGCCCCTAAATTTTTTATTTCTAAACGTATATCTTATTAGTTTGATAGGTGTTCCAGTACAAGACCTTTTACATTGAATATTTGCATCAAAGCTATGACAGAGTTCTTATCTCTGAGTATTGTTAGTGATGCAGTCTGACCTGGTTCCGTTCAGTTTGTGGCTATATTTTGTATTTGATAATGAAATCTAACTAAATAACTATATGTGCAAATATGTGCAAATTCTGTCTGTCATTTATTCACAATCCGGCAAATAATATAACTGTTCTTGGATTCAGTCATGACGACATGTTTTCAAATTTAGTAGCTGATTCTTAATTGATAGTGTTGATACCATTGACTTTGTTACTCTATTAACAGTAACACGTAAGGGCATCTGAGGTCTTTCTCCACCAGTTGAGCTGCAATGTTGCCATATTACTTTTAACTTCAAACACAAATAAAACATTTTTTATGAAGGAACTTCTGCTCTTACCACTAACAGGTACTACTATATTAGCTGATGACCTATTTCCAAAATTTTCATTGTAACTCCTTTAATTGACAGAACCAAAGCCCAGGAAATGTTCATAAATATACATGTTTATTTATGGCTGTGTCCGGTCAACAATACTGTCATCCCTGGATGGATTTTAAAATGACTTAGCATAAATTTGTTGGGCATGATGACGATGTTTCATAAAAGAATATGGTCACCAGCTTAAAGATTAAGCTTAAAGATTAAGGTCTTGTGTATATCCAGTCCTGCTAAAAGTTGTGAATAGATGTTGTGTCCAATTCATTGGTTGCACGTAAGACTGTTTTTCTGTTTGTGTCTGGTCAACAATCCTGTTATTCAAAATGGCGGTTCGGTGTATGTGCATGTGTGCATCAGTCCGTCTGGATTATTTTTTTGTCCTGGGCGTAACTTTGTCAAAAGTGGGCAGAATTTCAAATATCTTGGCACAAATGTTTATAAAAATGAGACACTGTGTCATGCGCAAGAACCATGTGGCTAGGTCAAAGGTCAAGGTCATACTTTAAGGTCAAATGGAAAAAATGGTCTCGAACAGCTTGTCCGCTCCATAACTCTATCACTAACTGGTGAAATTTCAAATAACCTGGCACAAACATTCAACATCATGAAAAGATCTGTCCCCTGCAAGAACCATGTGGCTAGGTTGAAAGTCAAGGTCATTCTTTAAGGTCAAATGCAAAAAAAATGGTCTTAATCAGCTTGTGACGTCCGTACCAAAACTTAAATCATTAGCTCCTGGAATTTCAAATAACCTGGCACAAATGTTTAACATTAGATGGTGTGTTGTGCGCAAGAACCGAGTGGTGATGTTCAAAGGTCAAGGTTATACTAGCATCAAGATTATGCTTATCTGGGTCTATAACTCTGTCTTTAGTAGGCAGAATTTCAAATAATTTAGCACAAATGTTAATAATAATGAGATGGTGTGTGGTATGCAAGAACCATATGGCTTGATCAAAGGAAAAGGTCATACTGTAAGGTCAAAAGCAAAAAAATGGTCTCAAACAGCTTGTCCACACCATAACTCTATCACTATCTGGTGGAATTTCAAATAACCTGGTACAAATAATCAACATCATGAGATGGCATATTGCGCACAAGAACCGTGTGGCCAGGTCAAAGTTCAAGGTCTTAAGATCAAATGTAAAAAAAAATGAACTTAAACAGCTTGTCCACACCGTAACTCTATCATAAGCCAGTGGAATTTCAAAAAACCTGGTAAAAATCATTTTTTTATGTTCAACATCATTAGGGGGCATGTCACATGCAAGAACTGTTTGACTAGGTCAAAGTCATACCTCAAGGTCAGATGTGACAATGGGCTTGACATGTTGCCCTTGGGTATCTAATTTGTTTTTTGATACACAGCTATGAAATTTGGACCATGTGCACAGTTCAGATGTAGAATTTAACTTTGATATGAGCTAGCCTAGAATAGACCAAGTGACCTACTTTCTTGTCCTTTGATGTACAGCTGTGAAACTCAGTTTTAGATGTACAATTGAACTTTGATGTCAGCTGACCTAGATTTTGACCTAGTGACCTTCTTTCTTAGTTTTTTTCCATTCAGCTATAAAATTTGGACAATGTGCAGATATTCAGATGTGGAATCCAACTCTGATATTAGATGACCTAAATGTTGACTTAGTGACTACATTTTGTTTGATGTACAGCTTTGAATTTAGGTTAAGAATATATTTTGCCTCCGTGGTCGAGGGGTTAGAATCGATGACTTCTAATCCAGTTACCTCTCTGGCATGGGTTTGATCCCCGGGAGATGCTTTGGTAGTTAAGCGCAGAGGAAGGTAGTCTAGTACTGGTGTAACTCTCCAGGAACGATGGTTAGGAAACTACCCGCCTATATGACTGAAATAATGTTGGGAAAAGGCGTAAAATGAAATAAACAAACAAACAAACATATATTTTGCATGAAGTATTGTCTAGTACAACTGAACAACATTGTCTAGTAAACAGATGGTCTTGGCTAGTAAAGTCTGTTTGTATCTGGTTCAGCTGGTCTAGTTAAAAAATTCATCCAATACATATTATTTGAAACTCATCTTGCATTATTTTGTAAATTTACGTATATTTTTAGACCAGTTTGAAAATCCAAAGTCTATTTTTAGCCATTGCGAATAATTTAGATAGGAATTTCTGATTAGTTGTTGCATTATGTAAAGTAGAAGGAGCTGTAAATAGTAAGTTTTTGTCAAGCCATTTTGCCGAGAGCTCAACATAAATGTCACAATGGTGGTTTGGTGTATGTGCGTGCATGCGTCCATCAGTCCGTCTGGATTATGCTTGTCCAGGGCCTAATTGTCAGTAGTAGGCAGAATTTCAAATAACTTAATGCAAATGTTGACAGTAATGAGACATCATGTCGCGTTCAAAAACCGTATGGCTAGGTCAAAGGTCAAGGTCATACTTTAAGGTCAAATGCCAAAAAATGGTCTTAAACAGCTTGTCCACACCGTAACTATCACTAGCTGGTGGAATTTCAAATACATGTAACCTGGCACAAATAATCAGCATCATGAGATGGTGTGTCACTACAAATTTCCTGTAAAAATATGCCTCATTGTAAACAAAGTTGTAAAATGAGACTAGCTTCATTAAAATCATTAAATGTTGTTTGACTTATTTGTTGCAAAAAATAATAACTGAAGGGAGGTTTGTAGAAGGTATGGTTACTTTAAAATTGACACTATTAAAAGTAATAATGAATCTGAAGTGTACAGTATTAGATGTTATATACTATGACTACATCAATACTGAACATACAGTAGTGATTTAAAAATGGGGTATAAAAAATTTGGGTCCTGTTAAAATCAGGTCAGGTCTAGTGAACTCTTTTGGCTACTAGGGCCAATGGTCCAGTGGTTAACCCTTGGTCTAGTGACCAATATTGTTCAAATTCTTTAAAAAAAAAAAACCCTAGCTTTCACTGCTTACACAAATAAAAGTCTTTCCTAGGGTGAGTGCTTTAAGGCCATTGGCCCCCTTGTTTAGTAACAATGCCTCAAGGTCTTCGTAACCTGTAGTGAGCACAGCTTAAGGGCCGTTTGTCTGTTTTCACAACAAGTTCTTTATATTGAACTGTCTGGTCGACCTACTCTGACAAAAAAACAAAAAAAAAAGAAATAAAAAAATGTCCATTCATACATAAGGAATTTCTGGTCAGCTCTATATCTTTTGAACTGATTGAAAAAAACTACTTGGCAGACATGTTTACCATAATAGGACAATGTGTAGTGTGCAGAACTTCCTTAGGTCAAGGTCACAGTCATTACGTATGAATTTCAAAATTTTGTGTCCACTCTGTATCTTTTGAACTAAAACTATTTGGCAGAAATGTTTGCTTTTAAAATGACAAGGTGCAGAACACAGGTTTGGGCTTCCTTAGATATTATTGTATTGAAGCTACAATGCTCGGAGCTTAGATGTTTGGCTTACATAGCATTGCCTTATGGACCTCTAGGGAATTATTGGTAATCATGGCCCTGTGGTCAATATTGGCCCTCCCTGCACTTTTTTAAATAGACTAAAAATTGGAATACATTTAATTGATATTGTGCATCTACAATGCCCAGAGCTTAGATATTTGGATGTAACATTGCATTGTGGACTTTAACAAAATTAATATTAATTTTTCCCCCTTGTGTCAGTTTGTCCTGCCTCAGTGGTCAGTAATTACAGACTTGTACATTGTAAGATAAAAATGCCCAAAGCCTAAATATTTGGCATGTTGCATTGCACTGACTGTGGACTGGACCTCAACAAAACTGATATAAATCATGTCCTTGGGTCTATATTGGCCCTGCCCCTGGTTTGATTGATGTAGATTTTTATAGGAAAACATGATCAAGTCTAATTGTAGGAAACTACAATGTCCTAAGCTTAGGTATTTAGCATGCAACATTGATCATTTGACTTCTACAAAAGGTGCATAAATCACAACCCTTGGGTAGAAATTGGCCCCACCCCTGGGGTCATTTAGTTTATGAAGACTTCTTTAATAAAAAATATCTTGATCACAGAGCTTAGATATTTTGCATGTAGTACAAATTTGTAGCCTAATACAAAAGTTATAAGAATACTGACCCTGAGGTCAAAATTGTCTCTGCCCTTAAAGGAACTCCACTGATGTCTATAAGCATAAAGATATGAAATTTGAATTGTTTATATAAATCCCCAGGGGAACTTAAATCAGAAAGATATACAAAAAGTCATTAAGAAATATACTCAGAGATAAATTGAAAATCGTATTTTGCATTAACATTGGCCCAATTTGAGTCAAAAGCGATTTCGATAATTTTTCACAGTGAATGATCTGATATTTTGCACATAAGTTATTGGTCAAGACCTACAACAAACGGAATATCAGTCTTGGAAAAATATTTTCAGTTCCATCATGTCAAAAAACATCAGTGGAGTCCCTTTAAAGTTTGAAAAGGGATCATCCAAGTTCAAAAACTAGGTCACACTGACCAAGTATGGAAAAACCTTGTTAACACTGCAGAGGCTACTGTTTCGGTCTAAATGTCCTGGAAATTGGTCAAAATGGTTGTTCATATGATTTCAAGCTCAAGTTTGAATATTGGTCATCTGGAGTCAAAAACTAGGTCATGCAGCTCAAATATTGAATAGTCTTGTTAACACTGTACAAAGGCAGTATTTTCAACCCAAATGTCCAGGATATTGGTCAGAAAGGGAGTTACTTGATTTCTAGCTCAACTTTAAAAATGGTCTTCTGGGGACCAAAACTAGACCACAGAGTCCAAATATGGAAAATCTTTGTTAACACTATAAATGTAATACATTGTATGTTCAGTCCAAATATCTTGGAATTTGTCACCAAGGTTGTTCAAATGGTTTCTAGGTCAAGTTTGAAAATGGGTCATCTGAGGTCAAAATTAGGTGACAGCCCTTAAATGGAAAAATCTTGTTTAATACTTTTGCACTATTTCAGGTGCAGATATAAACATTTTACTATCAGATAAAGATTATGGAGGGTATATTGTCCACCTTAGCTGTGATCTTATCCTATTATAATTTATCATTATTTAAAAGGCAATGGAACTAGGTCACTTATTCAAAAATAAAAATCAAGTGAATCCACATAATTGAGTATCATAATTTAAAGTCCCAATGCAAGATCCATTATCTCTAGCATGGATTTAAATTAAATATAGCTGTCTGTGAACTTAGAAATCCTTTAATAAACTACATGTATAATACTAATATAAGGTGGTAGAAATCTTTTAATAAACTATAATACTAATGTAAGGTGGAATACGTAAACAAAGGGCATAAATAAAACACATCAAGTGGGTTTACTGTCTGTATTAAGCACAAACTGTCTATTGGTATGGCTCCCATTCAGTAGACAACTATGTTTTGAAAACTGCATGACATAGCCTTCAAATTTGTGTTATTATGACATTTCTGGATTATTGAGGGATTTGGTTTATTCTTGATTTTTAGGACAAAAAGGACATATTGAATGACATTCTCCCTTTGCATTACAGTCTCACTTGCCCATGCGACCACGTGTATTAAGCGACCACTTTAAATTTCCCCCGATCATTTTCTCTCTATATCTTTTATGTATTAAGCGACTTTTCCTCAACGGGACCAGCGACCGCTAATTAGTAAACTAATTGAGATCAATCTTTTCATTGAACAACCACTTTTACCTGTCAAGAAATTGTGTTTCTAGAGAACGCCGTCTCGTAATGTCACAAGTGTCAACAATCAAAACACAACATATAAATGTGCGAAAAACTTTTTCTCAAACCGTTTTAGCGTATGCAAATGAAGTTATGTATACGCGTGACGTGTATTATCCAATAATATCGAATAAACAATGCAATGCTCCGCCCCTTCTGAGATGGTGCATACCCTTCGCTTGTTGACGTTTAGACTGCATTCAATTGACCTTGAACTTGACCAGCAATTAAATTAATCAACAATTAGATGTAGTTTGTTTATTTCAAATGAAATAATGCACAACAGAAAACATCTTCACTTATTAGGTGTTGGAGACAAGGAAAATCAACGGAGAAGTTAAAAAATTCTGGAAAAATGTCAAACATGTAAGCAATGGATCAAAACTGTTTTGTCAATAAATATCAGAAAGTTATTTTTTACATAAGATCGGAGCATTCTAATTACTCAACATTGATATAAATGAAGTTGAAAAACATTCCCACCTCAAAAGAAAGATGTCATTTATAAATTTTGACTTTTATATCATGCTTTGTCTTAAGAGACTGTTTCATTAAGGGCGGTCGCTTAATACACGTGTGACTGTATAATGCATATTTGGTAATAAGAAATAGCTGTGAGTGTTGGCTCTGCTTGCATTGGCTATTGTTGAAAACCTAATTTGTGGGCATTGCTTGTGTCATGTCATGCTTGTTAAGTATATATTTTGTTGATATGGGCCAGAGGCCAAAATCAAATGAATCTATTGTCATTGTCATTGGTTTCGGATATACAGGTTATGGTCAAAGTGACTTTGATTCATTTTGACCAATATTGTCGAAATTATGACATTTTCCAGAACTGATAACTTTGTACATGCCAGAGCATAGATAGGATTTCATTATCAGTCATAACAAAAGTTACCTGCACTGTTGGGGAATTGAATCTGGGTGTCCCGATTTACAGTTTGGGTGTCCCGATTTACAGTTCAAGGTTCTACCTATCTAACTGGACGGTTCAATACAGGAATGATCCTTTAGTTGACCTTAAATAAAATTGCTCCAAATGGTTCTGGTCAACTAAACAGCCAGAGCTAAAAAAAAAATAGGAAAACCTTTAACGACATCTCCTACTCAACCATTTGGTAGATTTATAAGGCATTTCACCCTATCATCAGGAGTCAAAATAAGGTCCCATTTCCATCCAAAATGGCCTTTTTTTCCCAATTTGAAAAAAAACAACTCCAAAAGCAGCCAAAAATATCAAACTGTTGCAACTTCTGAGAAAAATTGCACTATTTTAACTTGTTTTTCAAAAGAAGTGACAGATTATATAATTATACACATGTTAAAAAAACTTTCAAGTCATGTATTAGGTATGTTTTCAACTTTTTAGAATTTTTTACAAAATATCGAATAATTTTAGCTGAACAAAAGGTTGCCAGAGCTTAAAATAGAGAAAAAAAACACCTGTAAACAACATCTTCTGAGCCACCAGGTAGATCTTGATAAAATTGTACAGCAATGATTGCTAGGAAATCCTTAGAAAAATTGCTCAATTGTTTCCTGTCAAAGAGGAATATCCTTATAATTAAATCTTGACCATGTAAACCATATACTCTGGTGAATGATAAAGGCCATCATGACCCAATGATGGCTCTCTTGTTGCTTAACTTTAGTGGAAAGAAAGCTAATGTTGTTTGTATGTTTGCAGGTTTTTTCAGAGATAGAAGATCTGACAGAGGCTCATCAAGATATAATCAGGGAGTTAGGAGAGAAACTTTTATAAACGGGGTAAGTTCTATTTACAGTATGACATGTGATAAGAGGATGTGATTTATCTCTACTTAGATAGTTTGCAAAGCTTGTATAGTGCACATTTATAATAACAGTGATTGTAAAATAATACCCTTATTATTTTTTAGCTCATTAATACGAGGAAAAACTTTTGTTCTCACCGTGGCATTGCAGTCACACTTAGGTTTAGCTTACTGTGTGCAAGTTGGTATCTCCAAAACTACTGGAGGGAATGGGTTAAAACTTCACAACTTTGTTCATTGTCATAACCTACATGATAGGCATAGATTCCATAATGATAACTCTGAGTCACCTTTTTTACAGAGATATATGAGAATGGTTGAGTAAGCTGTCTTGTTAACCCAGCATTAGAAAGATGTTTCTTGATATTTTGCATTAACTGTCTGTCTGTCCTTTTGTTTTCCTTTTTGGGGAAACTCTATTCTGCAGGCTGTATAAAGGATTATATAATTGGCAATAGATAAAAATAAATGATTGGTGATTTCAGTGTTCAGATAGATACTGTGATATTCCATCATATACCACCTCCTCTTACACTCCACCTAGTGATACATACAGGGACTATGTGTCCAAATACAAGGAGGTCTGTACTCTTCTCTATACTCCCCTTGCATTCTACCCCCTCTGGTGAATGGGATGCTCCAATGTCCAAATATAGGAATACTTTATTGTTCAAATATAGGAATACTTTATTGTTCAAATATAGGAATACTTTATTGCAGGGTACAGTTGTTATACATTCAGCATGAATACAAATAGTGAAAGTATTCATTTAATGTATGGTAATGGTCAATTTCCTAGCGATAACAATAGGCAATGATAATTATAAACCATTGGCAATGATATTTATAACCATTGGCAATGATATTTATAACCATAGGCAATGATAATTATAATCATAGGTACTGATAATTATAACCATTGGCAATCATAATTATAACCATTGACAATGATAATTATGAAGCTGTAAATGATATAATTTAACCCATGGAAGATATATATAAAAGAAACTTTTATGACTATTTGTATGGAGCACAGTCTTGTTAGCTTAATAGGTAGAGCGTTTGACTGTGAATCAGGCGACTCTGGTTTCATTTCCAGGTGGTGCAGGTTTTTTTTCCTTGTGATTGGTTACTATTATATGGTCATACCACTGCTCCAGCATGTACTGAAATTATCAATTCCTTGCCAAAGTGAAAGCTTCAGTACTTGTAAACTGCTTGACAGTCTGCCCAGGAATGATTCAGTGGCTAAACTATGTTCTGGTGAATTCAAAATGGCTTACTGCCATGATTCCAAGGGTAAACTACCACCACCACCACTATATTTAAGGTCCATGCGTTTTCAAAAAAAGAAATAATCTGTTACATGCAATTGTATAGTATGACCTCAAATTTGGTGATGGTTTGTTACTGTTCTGTTCTACAAAGATAAAATTGTTTTAAGTCTTCAAAAAACTACAATTAATGTTCTTGATTTTACATGGTACACTCTTACACTATTCATTTTTAGAATCTTTTGTCAGATATTTTGTTAATGTAATTGTATGTGATAAAACATATTCCATTACTTAATTTATGTAGTAAGAAGTAAATCAGAGTTCCAGATAATTTTATGACACTGGGGGTAATTACCCCCACTTTTCAGAATGTGGGGGTTAATTTAAATATATCATGAATCTACAGAGTAAGATTAAAGGACTTATTCTTTTTTTTAATGAACCATACTTTAAAAATGTCAATTTAGCTCTACGTTTTTCGACCTTGAAGCAACCATGACCTATGTGTGTATCAATAAATGCTTGCAATTATAAAGAAAATAGAACAATATATTTTATTAAGCGCCTACGCAATAAATACGTAATTAGACTGGTTTACAGGAAGAAAAATATTTGAAAGTATTTTGATGGGTATTAATTGGAACATAGATACCCAGTCAACTGTTAAACAGAAGCGGAAATCAGCTGTTTTGAAAATGAAAGTACACACCCAGACTTCCCGAAAGTTGAAAAAAACTGTCAGACATTCGGTCTGACAAACCATAAAAATCTGTCGGACCGAAACGAAATCTGTCGGACCAAATAAAATTGATCAAAGAATAACTTGTGTTTGTATTTCTAAGACACTTTTTTTTTATTTTTTCGCCGTAAAATTCGGCACATTCCTTACAAGTTACAGCGCATTTTCATCTCCTCCCTATCATACACCAACGATTCACTGTCTTGCTTCTATTTTTCATTAAATTTTGTCTCAGGTCTTTTCTTTTTATCCTTTTACTGCTGTTCTGCGCGTTCCTCTGACGTAGTTTTTTTATTTTTCCAAGGTTTGGCTCCTTTAGCGACGCCATTTTGTATACATGCGGCTTGGATAAAAGCCGGACAGTCGGACCGATCCGGAATAAAAACTCGTCGGACCTGATCAAAATTTATCGGACATGTCCGTCGGACCGACGTATTTCGGGAAGTCTGCACACCATTCTTTGAGTAATTAATTTACAGCGTGCATAAATGAACGCAACAAATTGGTAACCTTGTGCATTTTTAGTTGATTTTGAAGCTTAAAATACGCCGATACACACGTTATCTGGAACTCTGGTGAATTCTTTATTGCTATGGTCGTTTGAGTGTGACTTATACATGCTCACACCCATCATAATAGTGAATGAGTATGTAGTGAATACCCTATCTGTATGTATATAACAGTGTCATTCCTAGATGGGTTAGATAATCTCATGTCAGAAATGATTATTATCACCAGATCATGTGTTGCTGGTTATCCTTGGTCTGTAGGTTCAAGGTCAATATCTTTTAGAGGTCAAAGGTAAAAATAGGACTAAAAGCAATATGTTTCAGGCAAAAGCCAAGTTTTTACCTCAAGAGTCAATGTCACATATCTGTCACTAAACATTTGTTCCTGTGTTACATGTCATACAACAGGGACATCAATATTATATTGATTCAACTTACAATGTATTGATTGTTAATTTACCACTTATAAAAGTTCATTATTCAAAATGTAGATGGTACAATAGACAAGTTTATAGCTACCTAACTATCAAATCAAAGCTATCAAATCAGTAAATTTTAGCTAGCGTTATAGTGTCATTAGATCATCCATTTTCCAAGATTTTATCAGAATTTGCAGTGAATGTTAATATTTAAAAGAAAGCTGTCATGATTTGAAACAAGTATTTCTCATTTTCCCAGTTATTAAGAAAGTGTTGTATTTAGATGTTGTTGTTATATTTCAGTCCTACAATGATTATATGAGGGAGTTTGTACACAGAGCACCAGCCCCACCACCAATGCCACCATATGGACCACCTGTAAGTTATACATACAGTCAACAAGTTGTTGGGTGATATAGCTAAATTATTTATAGAGAAAATGGTAAAAAACAGTAAATAAATTCCACCTAAAATGAAACAGATCTTTAGTTTTATTATGCCCCCACAAAGTGGGGAGCATATAGCGTTGCACTTGTCCGTCCGTCCGTACGTCTCAAAATCTTGTGAACGCAACTCCTCTTAAACTAGATGGCAGATTTTGCTTAAACTTCCAGGGATGAACAACCTTAATGTGAAGATGGTAGTAAAGGAAGGAATTTTCGCTGCGACCAAATTTAACAGAATTATGGCCCTTTGTTGATTTTTTCACTATATACTATGTAGAAATTTTGTGAACGCAACTCCTCTTAAACCGGATGGCAGATTTTGCTTAAACTTCCAGGGATGAACAAGCTTAATGTGTAGATGGACGTAAAGGAAGGATTTTTTGCTGCAACCAAATTGAACAGAATTATGGCCCTTTGTTGATTTTTAACCAGGTTTTCAATTTTGAAAATCCTGGTTATTAGATTGGGGTATGGCGGGCGGATGGGCGGGCGGGCGTCAAACGAAATTGTGTCCGCTCTGTAACTCTTCAACCCTTTGAAGAATTTTGATGAAACTTCAGACAAATGTTTACCACATCAAGATGACGTGCAGAACGCATGTTCCGCATGGCTGGCTCCAAGGTCAAGGTCACAGTGACATTAACATTGAAAATCCTGTCCGCTCTGTAACTCTTCAACCCTTTGAAGAATTTTGATGAAACTTCAGACAAATGTTTACCACATCAAGATGACGTGCAGAACGCATGTTCCGCATGGCTGGCTCCAAGGTCAAGGTCACAGTGACATTAACATTGAAAATCCTGTTTACATGATTTTAACTTGATTTGGCAGTCAAAGGTCATATCATCTTTTTTTAAATTATTCTCATTTTTAACCAGGTTTTCCGAAGGAAAAAACTGGTTATTAGATTGAGGTATGTCGGCGGGCGGGCGGACGGATGGGCGGGCGTAAACAATTTCTTCTGTGCGCAACTCCTCTTACATTTCTCAATGGATTTTGACGAAACTTTTACAGAAGCTTTGTCATCAAGTGCCCTGGCGCATATTGTCGGGGTTTTATGATTGGATAATATTTGACCTAATTATGGCCCTTTGTTTTTTTTCCTTATATAGAATATATAGTGAACAATTTCTTCTTTGCGCAACTCCTCCTACATTTCTCAACGGATTTTGACCAAACTTTCACACAAGCTTTGTAATTAAGTGCCCTTGCACATAATGTCAGGGTTTTGTGATTGGATAATATTTGACCTAATTATGGCCCTTTGTTTTTTTTTCTTATACAGAATATATAGTGAACAATTCTTCTGTGCGCAACTCCTCCTACATTTCTCAACGTATTTGGACCAAACTTTCACAGAAGCTTTGTTATCAAGTGCCCTGGCGCATATTGTCGGGATTTTGTGATTGAATAATATTTGACCTAATTATGGCCCTTTGTTTTTTTTCCTTATACAGAATATATAATGAACAATTTCTTCTATGCTCAACTCCTACATTTCTCAATGGATTTTGTTCTAACTTTCACAGAAGCTTTTCATCAAGTGCCCTGGTTATAGTGTCGGGGTTTTGTGATTGGATAATTTTTTACCTAATTATGGCCATTTGTTTTTTTCACCCAAACAGAATATATAGTGAACAATTCTTCTGTGTGCAATTCCTCCTACATTATTCATGATTTACGTTGCACATAGTTACATTTTTTGTTGCTTGTATTTGTATTTCAACTTCAACATATTTATCTACAATGGTGATAATTGAAAACCTGGTTTCATGGCATTGCCATGTTTCTTGTTTCACTTTATACCATATGTTGTCAGTGGGAGCATCCGTGTCCTTTGGACACAGTTCTAGTTGAATTGTCTTTTACAAGACTAGTGTACAGGAAGAAACATAAATTGAACAAAGTTGTCAGATTTTGAAAAAGTTTTATGCAACAGAATTTTAGATAATATTGAAATTGATTTTGATATGTTTCCTTCTTGTCTGGGGACAACCAACACTAGCGGTTAGTACCATAGTAATTTTTAGCCCAATCAGGAGTATGTTACGCCATTTTGTCTTGTTGATTATGGTAAAAGGATAATTTTTGTCAGAAATACATGGTGAATAGAAGAGAAATATAAGCCAACTGGAATAATATTGTAACTGTTTGTTAGTATTTAAAAGGTATTTACATAGTTTTATGAAATTTTATCAATGAAAATTTTTTTGATAACAGCTTGAACATTATGTTTATTAATAATTAAGCTGTCATTTGGATAAGACAAGACAGCTTAACATGTCAGTAGTAGCTTGACCTATAATATTATGTCCAAAATTTCTTTTTGCATTTTTTCGACAATGCAAACAATGAATTACTCATTTAAATATAAATATATATTGTAGCCTCAAACATATAGTATGGACCCTATGGCACAGTACCAGAGTTACGATCATTCACGAGAATATCAGATGCCTCCTCCAGATTACAGCCGATCTCATTCCCCTCCTAGATCTAGATCTGATAAACGCTCAGTAAGTACATATATATACTATCATTACTTTGGTTTAGTTCAATATCATCCGTGCCCATTTAATGAATTGTCTGTGTGTTGTATTTGAGCTTTGCTGCCTTAGTGTATATTTTACAGGGAACCGTTTCGTTAGCACAAATGCGAAGAGACTTGTTATGACATGGAAAATAATATTGTAGAAAATAAATCTGGAACCCTCATTTATTTACATGTGTTAAGTAAATTGTAAATAAACTTGCAGTTATTTACCAAGTACAATAAGAAATGAGTGAAATATAATTGACATTTTCTTTCTGGATAAGTCAATATTTCAGAAATTAGTTACAGATGTTTCTTCAACATAAATGTTGAATGTTAACAAATGACACTCCCCAAATTCTTTTATGCCTTTAAAGTGTGATATTTGATTAGTGATCATTGTAAAAAAACAACATGTCTCATGTGAGATTTTCTTATACTTTCCTGCTGAATAGCAATATACTAAAATTGATAGTGAAATAATGAGTGTAGGACAAAATCCCCCCCGGACGAAAGCCCCCCCCCCCATCTAAACATGACAAGGTGGACAAAAGCCCCCCATGAAATTTACACATAGGACAAAAGCCCCCCCCCCATCAAAATGTTTATTTATAGTGTATATATTGAAGTGATAACAAAGTATATGATAACAGATGAAATAATGCATGCATGCGATACTGAATTCATAGCTTTTCATATTTTCATATACACAACAAGGGTCAGAAGAGTAGTAATGTTTAATCACTTTTGTAAAGGATCAAATTAATATCCTTAGCACTATGTTTCCTACGTGTGATGTCCAAACATATCTTTTAAACACATAAAAAACACAACTTTAATACACTATATGTTATACACTATATTGGGGGGGGGGGGGGGGGCTTTTGTCCTATGTGTAAATTTCAGGGGGGGGGGGGGGGGCTTTTGTCCACCTTGTCATTTTTAGACCGGGGGGGGGCTTTTGGCTTTTGTCCATATCCCTGAAATAATATCTCATTGCTTTTATTGTCTTTCATTGTCTTTATTCCTTTAATGTTGTGTCACTAATGTTATTTGTCCATCCTTCATATGGTTTTGCTGTATGTCCATCCAATTTTGTGTAGGCAATCACTTGGATAGATTAATGGATTCTCTAATAATTTACACAAATGTCAACCTCAAAGAGAAGGGTAAAGGTGTGGAAGAACCGGAATTGTAACTCAAACGTCAAGGTCATACTAAGGGGTCAAAGAATATAAAACATGCAGTTATGCTTGTCCAGGCAGTAACTTTACCATAAATTTATGCATTCTCATATAATTTAATACTGATTTAAAACAGTTTTGCACAAAAGAAATAGACTTGTAGTTTCAAAGGGTCGAGGTCATACATATTGGTCAAAGGAAAACATTGGGCATTTTTGGTTGTCTTGTCTGTAATTTTTCCAAAGATTTTTGTACTTATATAACTTGGACAACAGTTGTTTACCCCTTTTAATTAACTTGTTGCTGTTAGTGGGCTTGGCATGTTGCATCTTGTTATTTTATAGAATAAAGACATAAAAAATATAATAAGAAACATAGTTCATACATGTACTATAAAACTATTAACAATACATTGCTACATTGTTGCTTCTGTTATTTGATTTTTCATTGTTATATTGAATTGTTCCAACTTCAATTCATGATAGAATGCTTTCATCTATTGTACATTTTCTTGGATTTCTATTTTTTTTCCCCTGAAATATTAAAGAGAATTAAATTTCTCTCTTCAGAGTCGGGATGGCTATGATAAATACGAAAAATATGAAAGTCGCTACACATCATCAGGAAATGTATGTACCTTTTTTTTTCTTTGGTTTTATGACTACAGATTGAGTATTTTTTTTCAACCATTATAACAAAACATTGTTACCAATATATAGCTTTCTTATATAGATGACACAAAGTAACAAGGTATACCCAATCTGTAGTACAAAATAGATGAACAGAACTTATTTAATTTATTTCAAAATTGATAATTTATTTAAAAGTAGTCCATATACAAAAAACATTTAAGGTAAATGATAGCTGTTTTCTGTCTTGAAATATTGAAGAGTACAATAGATGGTCACCATCATTAGTGTTCATTTTACATTGTTGCTTGTTTTATTTTATCGTAACATTTTATCCAGTAATATTCACATATTTTCCCTGAGCATGAAGCATAGTTACGCATGCTTTATATATTTACTGTTAATTTATATGTTCAGATATGGTAACCTTACACTTTAAAAGTTATACTGTTGCTGTAAACTAAATAGTGTAGGGACGGGCACCCGAGATCTTACACCACCAGTAAAGCTGGAAAGTCGCCATATGACTTCCATAGTGTTGATTTCGCTCAAAACAAAGTAGAAATTAAATGGTGCCCAATATTTTGCATAAGAACATTATCACAGCTCCTAGTTTGGTAGACAATAAAGAAAGACAGCTTCATCAAACATAATTTATGATGACTAGAAAGCTGTTATATTGAAGTTATGAATGTTTCATTTTATTTCCAGTATGATAGAGATGTAGAGGACTTTTTAAGGCGTACCACTGGAGGCAGTTCATCCCGCAGTCGTGATCACGACAGAGAGCGTAGTCGTGACAGGGAAAGGGAACGTGAACATAGGCATCGTGAACGAGAACGTGATAGTGAGAGAGATAGGCACCGGGAGAGACATCGTGAACGAAGATGAGAGTAGCCACTTTTTTTAGCAAATGTATGATTGGAGCGTAATTGTTATATTTTTTAATGACCATGAGTGTGTGCTAGCTTTATATGTGTGAATGTCCTTTATAGAGAGTATCAGAGTGTATAATGTATAAAGGGTATGTCGAGTCTACATGGAGAGATTAAAGTGGGTTTTATAAAGATAAATTATTTAGTGTACTTACAGATTTAATATTCTGTATAAGTTGCTGCTACCAGGTTGTTATTCAGTTACTTACTTTATTCACATTGTAGTCTTTCTCAATGATAGATTTTTTAAAGGTATCAAATCAACATGGTCCATATATAAGTTATCTTGAAATGAAATAATGCATTTCATGTAGATGAGGTTATTAATTTGATTTCAATTATTGGGATTACAAGTTTAAATACCTCTAGTTCTAATGACAATGGTAGCAGGAAGTTTTATAGATATATTCTTGTTAACTTGGAACAACAAGTTAGTTTTTTGTACAGTGAAAAAGATATATTTGTATAAATTTCATTTTGTATTTTAATTTGTGTGCTATATATAACATTATCAAAAGTCATATCATATAACATTTTTTTTTACACCATTTGTATATATTTGTGCATAATCATACACCTGATATCAAAGGATTTTGTCATTTGGGAAAAAAGATCATTTGATATGTTATCACAACACCATTTGAATTTTCATGAGATTGTATTTTAATTAAATAAATCTGTACTAATAGTTATAGTACATATATGAGATGAGTAGGTTGATGCAGTCAATGAAATTAATTTGTGCCTTTGTGTAAAACGGGCACACATTGAGATGCTACAATTTCAGACTTGGTCATATTTCTGTACAGAAATAGTAAATCCTGTGCTCTAGTCCCTAACTTGTTTGTGTTTGAGTATGGTACTGGCCAATCAGATGCTACATTTTCAGACTGGTTTTTGTATTCAAGTATAGTATCAGCCAATCAGATGCTAGAGTTTCAGACTGGTTTTTCTATTCAAGTATAGATTTAGCCATTTAGTATTTCTGTACATTATTGTCCAATCGGATTTTGTCATCTTAAGGCTGCAATTATATTTACAAATTATCATATATTGAGGTGTTTATTACTGCCAAAAACTAGATTTTACTCTTTGAGGGACTGCTTTTGTTGAAAGGTGTTGTAAATTGACATGCTTAATCATAACTATGGATAAATGTTGTCAGAAAAAAAAATAGATATGTTCATTTTAAGAAAGTAGACAGTAAAGATTAATTTTGTTATGATAGTGCTTTAAGGATAGTCTGAAGTTATGTTTCCTTAACCATTTTCTCCAAGATTGTGTATTTGAATACTATACTTATATTGTATCAATATTATCTTTTGTGGGACCTAGTTCATACTTTTCTTTTTATTTTGTGTTTTATTTCATATTCTTTTTTGTACCATAATTTGTAGTTTGTGTTAAACATTATTAATTTCATATTTTCATTATAGTTATATGTACATGTATTTCAAAATCCCCAATATAATGTCCATCTATTGTTGTTTATACATGAATGTAAAGTTAAATATAAGACGGTATTTTGTACAGTATTACCATTCATTAACATTCTGTACCAACATTCTGTAAAGCATTGCATTTTAACATTTCATAATTGTGCAATCCTCGTCATTTAAATGTCTGTCAGGTGATACAAGGTGAATGAGATACTATTTATATATTATAATAATTTTTGTTTGATTGAATGAAGACAGGAAAGCAATGTAGTAAGATACTATTGTATTGATGTATTATCACACCTGTTTGAGGGATGGACTGGATGTTTCTTTCATGAGCAATTGCTGGGCATGATAGATCATAGATGTAATTAGTAGACCACAGTTTGCCTGTTCATCAATTTGGAAAACTTCCTTTTTCATATCTAAAGATTAAGTTTTGAAGAATTGAAAATATTTGAGCATTGATCCATTTAGAGGCTATATAAATTCTTCATTTTGAAAAAAGAAAAAGAAAGCATATTGAACAAACATTATTGTTTATCTCTTTTGATAATTGAGGCACGTCACGACAAAACCAACATAGTGCGTTTGAGACCAGCATGGATCCAGACCAGCCTGCGCATCCGCGCAGTCTGATCAGGATCCATGCTGTTCGCTTACCAACTCTATTACAAGTAAAGAAACTGATAGCGAACAGCATGGATCCTGATCAGACTGGTCTGGTCTGGATCCATGCTGGTCGCAAACGCACTATGTTGATTTTGTCGTGACGCGGCTCATATATATTTGTGTTGGATGTTGAATCATTCCATAATATTGTATTAACACTTAGACGTTTTGTAATTTACTTTGTTGCTATATATAAGGGTAATTATCATGAAAGTTTGTTAATTTACATATTTTTGTGACTGTATTTACAGCAATAATTTAGGTAATAACTGTCCTGCACAGAACAATATGGAGATTGTAGATAAGCATTTTTGTCAAAACACATTTTAAATTTTCCTGTTTCATCCACAATTATAAAAAATATAGTGCCAAACGTACAATAAACGCATACTTAAATCTTGTTCTTTTATGTTTGTAATTTTCTTTTATCATTTTAGTTTTTATATTTTTCAACTCACAATGACATAACAGGGCATATAAAGCATGGTTTGTAGTATTTGTGTAATGATAATTTGATTTATTTTTTTTTATCATCATTTTTCAAGGCTTAGCTATGGGATTTTTTTACCCAGTCTTAAACGGTAAGATAACTCTAAATTTTCTTGTACAGAAATGTAAAGTTCATTATTTTTCATTCATATTATCGTTTATGACTGCGTTTGTAACAGATTTCTAAACTTTTTGTGGGTATTTACAAACTGAATGATTATGTATATGATGTATATAGTTTTACAAATTGGTTGTCATGATACATTATATAAGTAGAGTGGGATAAATCTCCCAGCCTACATTATTGTACAATGTTAACATAACTGATGTGGAATAAACACAAATTTATATAAAAAATGTGTTTTGTTATTGATAGAATCTACGTTTTATATCCTGTAACACAGGAAAGTGAAAAGAACACTGGAATTGTGCAGTAGTAAAACCGAATATGTACCATCATATTTTAGAACTAGTTGATAGGAACTAGGAACATTGATAACAACAATTTGTTTGATTGGTTTTTCCGTCACACCATAACAGTATAGGTCAAATGGCGATGTTCCAGCTTTACCGATGGAGAAAGACCTCGGATGCCCTTCAGGCATGAACTGGCACCGGAGTAGAAACACTTATGTTCTGTAATGGCTGGATAGCTTTCTCACATGAAAGAATTCAAAGTCCCTGGGATTCGAACACACAGTGGTGAGAGGCAAGTGGTTTGAAATCAATAACCTTAACGACACCCCTTTGGGCTTGTAAAGTTCCCAGATCGTAAGGCCATGAAGCAAGAGAAACAAAGATCCTCTAATACTCAAGTCTGGTAACAATCCATCCTTTGGTACCGAAAATGAACATGTTCTTCTCCATGTTTTGTTTTAAAAAAGATTTGAAACATCATATGTCCATAGTTCATTAAAAAAACATTCCAAGCATAAATGTAGTTTTAGCCAACACATCATTCCTTGAAGTAGGGAATGTGTGAACCAGCAAACTGTCAAACCAAGCATGAAGCTTATCAGGCAAATAAAATGTTCATTTATAGAAATATTGCATCCTTTTGTGCAATTACATACATGGAAATGCTGGATGATAGCTAAGCATAAAGAGCCTGATTTATTTAAATATTCTTGTGAATACTTTACTTTTTGTTGGTTATGGACCTGCCTAACCATGATCTATCCACAACTCAAAGAAAGTCAAATCTCTTTATCATGGCCATTAGTGACTGCCATGGATAAATTCCGATATAGAATTTATATAATTTGACCACATGACCTCTGAAGTGTTAACAGAGGTTGAGATAGAAGTAGTGACCTTATTTGATTCTCAACCCAGACAAACTTAGCATGCATGTGTATTTAAATTCAACAGGATTTTTTCAATGAAAAACTATTTTCAGAAAGTTAGCATTCAGACTAAATAAAATTGAGCTACATTTAGAACCACTGGAGACCTGTGTTGTCCAACAATTTTACCCAGTAACCTTGTTTTCGATTTACCTGTGATTAGCAGGTTATTAGCAGCATATTTAACACATTTATTTCAAATCTATCCAAACAAAATGATGTACAACACAGGACTATTAATTTATTAACATGACTTCTGTCTGTGACCAAGAGATACATTGTCATGTTACATATTTATGCAAAATTGTACAATACGTTTGCAAAATTATTATTGAAATCACTCAATGAAAGATGAACTGGCCGAACATAAACATTTTTATTCACTAAATAAAAAAATTCACCTTGACTTTGAACTACCAACCTTGTTTCAGCGTGTAACAGATCGATTCAATATGCCAAACAGTTACACATAAATATTTCAATGTATTCCTGAATGATACAGCCATGGACTGGACACAACCATTAATTCACATTATATTAAGGCTTTGGATGTTTAAGAGTGTGGCCTTTACCTTTAAGCTCGACCTGATTCTTGCGTGTGACACAGACATCATGTCAAACACATTCATGCAGATATTTATAGTTCATCTAGGAATGACAGAACCAATGACTGTACATGACCATTTACACATTTTTTATGAAAAAAAATCATATTAATATGAATAACTATGATCCAGAATAAGTTTCAGCTGAATACCCTCAGTAGTTTTGATGACTGATGCGACATGCAGGAATTTTGTCAAGTACAAGCCCACAAATTTTGTCAAGCACACAAAGGGCCATAACTCTGTCAAAACCCATGCTACAGTTATAAGCCTTGGATAATGATCTGGCCTGATAATGATCACATGTGATTTTACAAGCAAATATTATGAGTGATTGACTATAGTCTGTCCCATTAAAAATGGAAATGAACTTTTGCCTGGTATGAATTAATAAAAACACGTTGAATAAAATTTAAAACTTTTTTGTAAACTAAAAAAAAGTCACCCTCGAGATTTTTCAGGATTTTTCTCTAAAGTGTCTAATTTTCTTGTAAAAGCAAAGTTTCATTTCTCTACGGCAAATCTCTGTTGTTTATTTTCCGTAGCCATTGCCGAAGTACTCTTCATTTGAAGATGAACGGGAGAAAGCACGTGTCATGTTTCTAAAATGTACATGATGTTCTCGGGGTCGTTTCATGATTATTTTACAAAGCTGTATCTACAAGATGTAACAGTTTCGTTGCAATGCATGATAGAAAACTTTAAAAAATGAATAACAAGCAACAACTTGAACAAAATCATCGAGTCTGTGGAGTAGATCAAGAAATAGCACTTACTTTTAAGCTGAATAGAATCCCTTTTAGTTTCGAAATAGATCTTTATAAACGTCACGACGAATTCGCATTCTGAAGATCACTTCATTGCCAGTTTATATCCAGTTCCGTAGACTTTGAAACTCCTGAATGGCATGACATTTACACTTATGATGATCCAGATTTTTTCATAATCCGTCTCATTATTAAAACATTGTTCCATTTGTGCAGTTATCTGGGTTAGCAAATGAAATATGTAAATCTATCTATCTATCTCTGGATACTGCCAACCCCTCTTACGAGTGTTAAAGGCAGGAATTTAGTGCACGTCGGATTGTTAGTAAAAGGTGAAGAGAAAAGCTAAAAAGAAAAGTCCAAACATTGACATGCTTGGAAGGTGAGACTGAAAATGTATTCTAGTCATGGTTAAAATGTTAATAGTGAAACAAGATGATAAGAGATAAAATAGTTTAAAAACACTGGGAGTAAGACTAGTACTGCAAACCCACCACTGCCTGTTTGAACTGACTCAGGTTGGGCAGGGTGGCAATGTTACTAGGAAGTTTATTCCATAGTATAATGCTATGAGGGAAGAAAGAGTACTTATGGTAGTCGGAGGATACCTGTATTTGACGTAGGGATAAGGGATGCATATGTCTGGTTAATCTATGTGGGGTTTGAACATAAGTTGGGAGATTAAATGAAACACATCATAATCCAGTATGTTCCAAATCCATAATTCAAGAACGGCCCATAAATTTAGTTCGACAGCACAATGTTTATAACTAATAAAAATGGATTCCTGACGAAAAAACATTATTACGTCACCAATAATTTACGAAATATATGACGTAACAAAAATGCCTCGCGCTTTTTATGGATGATTCCAGTTGCGGCATTGGCAGAGGGCGGTTAGGCATATGTAACCTCATAAAGATAATTTTAAGCGAGATAAATTTGTCTTGATGGCATTTAAAATAATTTTTGTATACAGTACCCAGATTTTGCAGTAATTGTTAAAAGTACACCTTCAATTCATATATTAACAATAAAACTTTTGATAACATTTAAATAATTTTAAACACACTTAATGGCATGAATCTATATGACAGAATACCTCTTCCATTAATTCACATATAACCTTCGTTTTGACTTTATGTTTTTAAACTATTTTATATATTTCTCAGAAATAATTTCCCTTCAAATTATCTCGTTATTCAAGAGTTCTGTAAATCCTACTCTTTTAGCTACAAAATATACCCTATGCGGTGTTATTTTCTCTGAATATTTTCAAATTTTAGGAAGGCTATAATTATTTAGGACATCACTCTGTGTTTCTCTTTGACTCGATATCCCCTTCATATTAACATAGCTAGTATGTAACACTTTGAGTCTACAAAAAAAATTAACTTATTGTCCTTGATTAAACGCTCCAATTCAATCTTATTCTTAATAATATCAAACACTGCCGGTATTTCTGGACATTTTGTTAAATTATGAGACGGAAAATTAATCTGTATTTACAAGCTTAAAGTGTATAGGCCAACGTTTGGTTGCTCAAACTAGAAAGCATTTTTATATTCTTATAATTTACATTTTTCCTCGCACGCGAGTCTATGTTCTCTCATTAGCAAATGAGCTAGTTAATTAAAGTAGACACTGTGCAAAACAATACTAAACATATAGTAAATCAGTTCCCCTTTCTATATATTTCTTGTCAGATTTGCATGCTAATGCTATATATTTGTTGGCGATTTATACGTCAGGTTTCTGTTGTGAAAGTTAAAACCTACGAAAAGTTTTAACGCACGAACATCGCACCCGAAATAAGAAGGGTAACATATTTTTGTATCCCATCGGACCTGGTTAATTTAATTATTTTTAAATAGACGTGATACATACTAATGGACAGTATTCAGACAACTATAGAATTATGTTAATTAAACATTAGCGAAGAACCATTTTTTCAGTCTTCTAGCTAGTGTTTCTCGTTCCCTTACGACGCGTTGCGGTATTCAAGATAAGCGCTTGATTGAAAAACTATCTAATCAAATCACTTCATTGCTCTTTTTCACTTAAAAAGAATATAAAATACAACAGTATATCATGGTTACTATATAAATATTTGCGTGTCCCAATTTATAAAACGGTTACTGATATTTCACTTCAAATGATTTGGATTATTTTAAATAATGGTTTGCCAGTAAAATTGCATTTTTGACACAAATTTGTTCTCATTTTGCATTTTAATGATAACATTTAGTTATTGATCAATAAATAAATAAGAATAATATATTTTTTATAATTACCGAGTACATTTCACGCTTATTGTGAGACGAACCCTAAATGACGTCTGTATGGGCGCCGCCATTTTGAAATAACGTTAGTCAAGGTTACAACGTTAGTCAACGGGAAAAATATAATTTTAACATTTTGACCATATTACTGACTTTATGGAAAAAATGAAAAACATGCCTAGAGATATTGATGTCAGGATTAACATGACATTAATTTAAATGATTTCACTATTATATTTAATAAAAAATGGAATATTCAAATTTGGTGGGACAGACTATAGATATGAAGTTGTATAATAATTTTCTCACATAACTAGTGTTTCAGGGACGCCCAGGTGGGTAGGATAGCCCTGACAA